CTAGTTAAGAATAGAGTATTTTTGTCTTATATTACTAAGCTATAACTCTTCTAAATAAAAAGATAAACCAAAGAGAATATAGTAAGAAAATAATATTCCTTTCTAGATTGTATTACTAATAGTTTCTATACTAATATATAAATTTAAATTTAGATTTTTATAAGGTAAAAGTACAAGATCTATGTTTTAGATTACTAAAAATAGTATGCTAAGGCCTAAAAAATGCTAAAACTGTTAAACTTCTAAATTAGAATTTTAGGCTATATAGCCTATAAATTCAATAGGTAACGACTATAAATTTTATTATTTTCTAAAAATAGATACAATTTAGAGTATCTTTGCTCTATGTTATTAAGCTATAACTCCTCTATATAAAAAGATATATTAAAAAGAACTTGAAGGGGCAAAGATAGCGTTGTTGTCGCTGCGGTCAGAAGTACTATATTGACAATCTGGTACGTATGGGCCTCCCTACGGGAGAGCCTCCCGGTCAGGTCAGGTCAGCCTCGGCGCGAGAGGCGCGTTCACGTTCACGTTCACGTTCAGCTTCACGCGTCGCTGTCCATTCATGGTGCCTACTGCAGCATACCGCCCAATCAATGCTATGGTCTCGCTGTCTTCCTCCGACTTCACAAGTATCGCCCACAGCCGACCTTAGGCGTCGATTTTCTCGCCTTTTGCTGCGTTGCAACCACACTCAGCATTACTACATCGCCCCACCAGCGAGAGAAATACATTCGACATTCGTTACCAGAGCGTCGCGGCAACATTCAGCCCATATACACACTGCAAGGAAAATACACTGGCAAACTAGCAACTCATTGATCATGGCGCCGAAGCAAGCGACGCTCGGGTATGTCGTCCATCAGCAGACTCTCGGGTAAGAGAGCACTGCCAGTGCAGCCCGTGATGGCACAAGTTTGTACTGATGATACACAGCAAGTTTTTCGGCGGCCAGAATGCCCAGAAAGCTGAGGCCCAGCAGGCGAAGCTGAAGTTCTCATCCAAGGTAGGCACGAAAGAGGAGAAAGAGAACCTGTCAGCTGCACCAGGAGCCTCCAAGTCCCATCCTATCGACCTTAAGAAGGAGGATGATGACGATGTGGAGATGAAGAATGCCAAGGTTGAAGAGTCTGAGAACGATGCACCGTCGGTCAATAAGGAAGCTTCGCCACGAAGCTCCTCCAAGAAGCGCTCTGCCTCTGCAGAAGCTGATCCCGATGATGAAGATGAAGAACCGCCTACTAAGAAAGCCCGCAAGCCCGCGACAAACGGAGTCTCAAAGAAGGGTATAGCCAAGAAAGCAGCGATCAAAGTGAAAGTTGAGCATGAGCCAGAGAGCAACAGTGACGATGAACTTGCCGAAAACCCAACCAAGAAAGTCCGAGCTCCTGCTCCCGTAGAGCCGTCCGAGAACCAAGGTCGAAAGTCAAATTCGAAGAGGACCGCAGTCCCTAACGAAGACGATGAAGAGCCTGTCAAGAAGACTTTGTCCACAAAGAAATCGTCAGAAGCCAAGTCTATCGCCCAAGAGCAGGACGTAGAAGAAGAAGAAAATGACAAAAACGAACCCAGTGATTCAGAAGCTGAATCAGAAGACTCAGAGCAGGAAGATGAGATCAAGCCGAAACAAGCAGCAAAAGCTCGCGAAAAGGTCCAGAGTACTCTTAAAGCCACGAGCAAGGACGCATACCCCGATTGGAAAGCGGGAGACCCGGTACCTTATGCTGCATTATGCACCACTTTTTCCAAGATTGAGCTCACTACGAAGCGTCTCGAGATTCTGGCTTTATGCTCAGCTTTCCTTCGACAGGTTGCGCGACTGACACCACAGGATTTGCTTCCCACTGTTCTCCTGATGAATGGAAAATTAGCAGCAGACTACTCCGGCATCGAACTCGGAATTGGTGAGTCTCTCATCATGAAGGCCATTGGCGAGAGTACTGGACGAAGTCTGAAGATCATCAAGGAGGATCAACAAAAGATAGGAGATCTTGGTTTGGTTGCTGCAAAGAGCCGGCAGAATCAACCCACCATGTTCAAGCCCAAGCCTCTTACCGTCCGCGGCGTTCATGAAGGTCTGATGAAGATCGCCACCGTCGAAGGCCAAGGCTCTCAAGGCCGAAAAGTGGACGGAATCAAGAAGCTGCTATCGTCTGCAGACGTGAATCTTCCTAAAGGCCAAAATGTGGATATCAACAAGGACAAAGGTGGACCAAGTGAGTCAAAATTCATCATCCGTGCCCTCGAAGGCAAGATGCGACTTGGATTAGCCGATAAGAGTCTGCAGGCAGCGCTCTCGCACGCCATGGTGGCTCATGCTGTCTCTGAAGACGGCAAGAAAGTTCCCACTGAGGCGGATCTGAAGAAAGGTGAAGAAATTTTCAAAGCAGTTTACAACGAATTGCCGGCCTACGAGGTGATAGTACCAGCCTTGTTAGAGCATGGTATATGGAAACTTCGCGGCGCTCTAAAGCTCCGGCCTGGAGTCCCTCTAAAGCCCATGCTTGCCAAGCCAACAAAGTCCATCGGCGAAGTACTTGATCGATTTGAAGGAAGAGACTTCACTTGCGAGTATAAATACGATGGAGAGCGTGCCCAGATTCATTACGTTGCTCACGATGCGGACGAGGAATTCGCAGCCACTGTCGCACCAAAAGAAGGCAAGACCGACCGGGGTGTCTCGAACATCTTCTCGCGAAATAGCGAGGATCTGAGCAAGAAGTATCCCGACATTCTGGCAAGATTGCCTTCATGGGTCAAAAAGGGCACCAAGTCCTTTGTGCTCGATTGCGAGACCGTGGCTTGGGATGTGGAGAAGAAGCATGTCCTGCCCTTCCAACAGCTCATGACGCGAAAGAAAAAGGACGTCAAAGCCGAGGACATCAAAGTCAAGGTCTGCGTGTTTGCTTTCGACATCCTCTACCTCGATGGCGAGGCGCTAGTTAACAAGCCTTTCCGCGAGCGCAGAGAGGCCATGTACGGCGCTTTCGAAGAAGTGGAAGGCGAATTTGCCTTCGCCAAATTTGGAAACTCACGAGAGATTGAAGAGATCCAGACTCTGCTTGACGAATCCATTGCCGCGTCGTGCGAAGGACTCATGGTTAAAATGCTCGACGGTGTAGAATCGCATTACGAGCCTTCCCGTCGCTCCCAGAATTGGCTGAAAGTGAAAAAGGACTACCTCTCTGGTGCCGGCGATTCTCTCGATCTGGTGGTGCTTGGTGCATACTACGGAAAAGGCAAGCGCACGAATTGGTATGGTGCTTTCCATCTGGCGTGCTATAACTCCAGCACCGAGCAATACGAAACGGTCTGCAACATTGGCACTGGATTCAGTGAAGCAGTGCTGGCCGAACTTCATGAGACATTGTCGCCGCTTGTGATCGACCGCGCCAAGCCTTTCTACGATCATTCCACAGGCAAGAACGACCAGCCCGATGTCTGGTTCGAGCCAAAATACGTGTGGGAGGTAAAGACGGCGGATCTGACATTGTCTCCCCGATATCGTGCTGCGAGCAGTGAGTTCGGCAGTGATGGTGTGCATAAGGGTGTGTCGCTCAGATTCCCACGTTTCATCCGTGTGAGGGATGATAAGAAGCCCGAGGAGGCTACTACCAGTAGGCAGGTGGCAGAAATGTACAGGAAGCAAGAGAGTGTGGGCAAGGATAAGAAAGCTGGTGTGGATGATGATTTCGAATACTGAGTGGCGGAGTGCGAATGCATTGGGACAACCGCGGACGCTCCAATGCGGCGAATCAGGAGTCCGCAGCAGGTGCCAGCACACAGCAGTGAGTGGCTTTTGTAGCAATAAAAATGCTTCGCTGCCTTTGTACCGTGTAGCATTGATAGACCGCCCTTCAGCTTCAGTCGACGAGGTGGCATTGTTAAATGTTAATCCTTGCTGTTATATGTGGCTTAGCCTTGGCATGCAGTGCACTGTGCGAATGGCTAAATCAAGTCCCTTCGCATCGAAGCCAGAATAATAGTGTATAGCGAAGACATCACAAGTGAAGGGTACAGCTCCACCTATTCTGTGAATGGGGAAGGAAGACGATGGGCGACAATAGATCTCATTTACCACAGCGGGACAAAGAAGCAAGAGCATTGAGGCATTGAGGCCTTCAGCCGGAGCTCGGTGCGATCGCTGCGATCTGCGGGCTTAGAAGGGCCACTTGTCTTCCGGTCAGCTAGAAATAACATCACACACACACCCCACATCAAGACTCTCCTGAATAATAAGAGGAGTGCACACTCTCCCTTGCCTTAGTTACTTAAGCGTGTGGAAGTCCGTTGCCATTCTCTCGACTCTTGCCGGTCACGCCCGTCAATCCCGTGGGCACAAGCGCAGTTCCGCATCTGGCTCCAAGAAAGAATAGCTGTTCACTTCACGCAGGTTACTCGCCAACTTCTCGCGTCAAGTTGAGCACGACCGTACACAAGCTAGGCGAGCCCAAGGCAATTCAGCCTCTCAAGGACAACTCTGCGTGCAAATCACTGCCACACCTTGTCCGCTTTTGAGGCATACAATCACAACATGGCGCAGATCCGAGGGACAGCTGGCTACCATCTTGGTGGGCAGCAGGGAGGATCCATGGGCGGCAATTTTGGTGGTCCTTCGAACTCGAATTCCTCCGCAACGAACGACCCATCACCGCTCGATGCAATCCGAGAGCAGACAAGCAAGTTGGAAGATCTACTTGACACCTACTCAGACCCGATCAAGCCCTACCTTCCAGCCATTGGAAGATTTTTGATTGTGGTCACTTTCTTAGAAGACGCATTGAGAATCTTCACACAGTGGAGCGACCAGCTGGAATACCTACATAACTACCGATACAGTAAGTACATATACAACAGCAGGAGGGAGTTGCCAAAAGAGACAGCAAACGAGCGAGTATGGGAACGGCACGGGCAACAGCGCTGACTGAATGTGAACAGTGCCATGGGGGATCAATCACGTCTTTCTCGTTGTCAACGTCATTGCCATGACCTCTGCCTCGATACTGGTCATCGCTCGCAAGTACTCGGAGTACGCAGTGGCAGCACTGATCGGCGTTGTTGTTACTCAGGCGCTGGGATATGGACTGATCTTCGACCTCAACTTCTTCCTCCGCAACCTCTCGGTAATGGGCGGCTTGATTATGGTGCTCTCTGACAGCTGGGTAAGGAAGAAGTTTGCGCCGGCAGGACTTCCTCAGCTTGATGAAAATGACCGCAAGATGTATTTCCAGCTTGCTGGACGTGTGCTCCTGATTTTCCTGTTCATCGGCTTCGTTTTCGCCGGAGATTGGAGCTTCGGCCGTGTCGTGGTGATCCTCCTGGGAGCAGTGGCTTGTGTCATGGTCGTGGTGGGTTTCAAGGCCAAGATGAGCGCGATCGTGCTCGTGATGATCTTGAGTGTTTTCAACATTCTCGTGAACAACTTCTGGACTGTAAGTCATCTATCGGCAGCTCCACAGTCACGTACTAATAGGAACGACAGCTTCACCCTAACCACCCACATAAGGATTTCGCCAAGTACGACTTCTTCCAGATATTGTCGATCGTGGGTGGGCTCTTACTTCTTGTCAACATGGGCCCAGGGCAATTCAGCGTCGATGAGAAGAAGAAAGTCTACTAGATGATTCCATGGCCCCCTGGCGTATGTAGTAGATGGCTTGACATCATGAAACGCCAAAAATGAGCGGCATGTGAATAAAATGAGACAGCTCAAAGCGGCCGTGTGCCAGTGTTTCGCGTGCACTGGAACTTCTGGAAGCACTGAGCTTCTTGACGTTGGGGATTGAGATGCGAACTGGAGTGCGTTGTTAACGATGGCCAAGGCAGATAGCCCAAAACGATCAATTTCTATGAGTACATGTTTGAATGATTGAATCCTGTGCCGCTGCAGGCATTTTCCAACCCAATGTCATGTCATCCGCGTTACAATCAAAAAGTGAGCGACGCTTGCCAAGACTTCGAGCTATAGAACTCTAGTTCTAGCGCGTTTGGTTCGCGAACTTCCAATTCTACTATAGTCGACACGACCTTCGGCTTGCATCTTTTGATGACAGCACTTGGTACCGCCGAAAATGCCCGTCGCAACTCGCCGTTCTCAAGCTGCGGGCGTGTCCAGGAAAGTGCCTACGCGTCGCACGAGGAGCGCAAGGACTGCCGCCAGCGATAAGTGGGAAATGGTTCCCAGAGAGGAACCGGACGACCACGATGCGAACATAGAGGGAGACATAGACGCAGACACAGACGCAGGCTCACACGAGGCTCCGCGAGCGTCACGCATCTTCGGCGGAGCGAACGGCAACCTAGACGACGCGGTGCAACCCTTGCGCGAGATGGCAGATCGTGTGGGCAGCGAGGTTGAGGCTTTCGCAGAGAGACTCGACATGTTCATCGAAAGCCTTTGCACAGGAACGAGTCAAACTTACGATCTCGTGGTGGAGCTCGTCGGTCAATTCAAGGAAATCGCTCGCGAAGCCGCACTCAAGCTCGAAAGCGACTATCGCAGAGAGAGGGCACAGCAGCTGAGGAAGGAGTGGAATGAGCAGAACCCCGACGTCTCCTATAGCCGCAGCCAGAACGATGCGCTTGCCACGAGCACGAGTCTGAAACTGGGCGGCAGCATGAGCGAGGCGAAGAGAGAGCAGGTTGCGATCCAGCGGCAGTGGCAGCAAGAGGCGGACATCTGGGACCTTTTCCACATCATTCTCGACGTGCACCACAACCCTCAGAGATCTTCACAGTTTCGCCAACAAAATCCTTCTACATCGGACGCCGTGCACCGTTACACCACCGAAAAGCAACTCTGGGACCGATTTCTACTGACTGACGACTTGGCCCATGAGCGCAGTCTGGTGAAGACATGGCTGGAACAGAGCGCGGAACACCAGGCCAGCGATCTGAATGGCATCGTAGAGGAGCTTGAGGCGAAGGCTGGACGGGGCAAGGGACTGTGGCACCATGGGTGGATGCACACGCGAGAGCATATTAAGCATGAAAAGAGGATGAGGGCGTGGCCAGCCCCTGACGCAGACCCGTTGCCACAACTGCGGAGTACCGACAAGGCGGAATTGCTTGTCACCAGTCTAGATCCTGACGCTGCGACTCGCCAGGATAGGGTACTTGAGAAGCCCGATGCGCATTTTGAGCAGGCCATGTGGATTGCCTGTTGGGAAATGCTGAGACGAGGTAAAAGCTGGGAGGAAGTCAGCCAATGGTGTGAAGAGCGGCACGAAAGCTGGAGAGCGATCGCTCTCGGCAAAGGTTTCGATCAGTCTCAATTACGTTCAAGTGCTACGTTTAGAAAGATTGCCTACGCTGCTTCAAAATCAAAGGTGTCGAACAGCTACGAAGCAGCAGTGTACGGACTCCTCGGAGGCAACATCCACGCTACGCAGAAGGTATGTCGCAGCATGGACGATCACCTACACGCACACTATTCTGCTGCTCTTGTGCGACAATTCGACAAATTCCTCGCTGTCAATCATCCCAATCGAGGGCGAAACGATCCTCTCCCGGACGGCACTCTCGAAGACCAAGATCTTGCCATATACGACCTTCTCGCAAGGCTGCGATCGGAGGCTTCCACCAAAGACGAATCCGTCCAGCCAATGAAGATCATCGAAAGCTACGTGATTGCCAACGACGTGGGCAGTATGATTCATACCCTTGGCTTCGCGCTTTCCTTGACGGATCAGCAATCTGGTCGACGGGAGAAGATGATTGCACATCTTGAGCCATTCTGGGAGAATGCAAGCCAGAACGAGCCTGAAGAAGCTATTGGCCTCAATCCCCATACACTACGTATCGCAGCGCATATGGGCATTCTGCTGGATATCCTTGCGCCACAGGATCTGCAGGGCGATGAGGCCATCGCGAAGATGAACGTGATTGTTGCGTATATCCAGACGCTGCGGGCAGCAGGAAAACGTGATCTCATCCCGGTCTACGCTTCAAGGCTCTCCATGGGAGCATATGTTATGGTGATGAGCCACGTCCTCGAAGATATCACAACACCCAGGGAGCAGGACGAGACGTTGAAATTACTGCGTCAGTACAATCTTGACGTGGTTTTCATCCTGAATGAGCAGCTGGGTTATGTGCTTGACAAGCTTTTGACGAAGAACTTGAAAGCGGAGAAACCAGTGAACATGTTGAAGCCATCGGACGATGCTAAGCATCCTGGCCAGCACATATCTGAAGAATTCCTGGCTGATGAGCATCCGGAAGAAGACTCGAAGGTGATCGCGAGTCTGAAGTGGTTTGACATTGTTGAAGGGCTATGGGAGCGCACATTCTACAGCCTGAGTCTCGCGCTCAGGAAAGCTCTGAGTAAGTTACATTGCGCAGTGGACCAGAAGTCTTGGACTAATTCGTCACAGTCTCTGGTCGCATCGCCCTTGCGATAAAGATCATTAACACATACCCATACGAAGACATTGCCGTTCGGAAGTCATATCAGGAGATAGGCAAATCTTACAATCCTATGGATGACGAACAGGCCCCCTCCGCAGAAGCTGCTTCCCATCATATACGAATGCGCAAGGAATCGCGTTGCTATTATGAGCTTTCACTCCTAGTGCAAGCAATCAAGGCGCTTGGGTCCTGGCGTACGCAGGAAGCAGAGTACATTGAGAAACACCCTCGTCTTACCGGCGCGAGCCCAGACCTCAAAGCCGCCAAAGAGGCGGTGACGGAAGCAATGGATCCTGTACTGAACGGACTGCTTTTGCTCGGCGATAGTTTCGCAGACGCAGACGAAAAGGCGGACGAAAAGGCAGACTGCGCTCAAATCCGTCAGTGGTACGTTCCGGAGCTGGTCATTGCTTACAACACTGTGCTTCATTCTGCCGGATATCTTATCAGCAGAGACAATTTGATTGATTCGATGGATTTGAGCGTTACGGTCGCCGACGAGAAGAATCTGCTTTCAGAGGTCTGTGTTCAAGCGGGTAGAATGCGAGAGCTCGTTGCATCGTTTGCTTCGACAAGCAAAGCTATGTTGGTCCTCAAAGCAGAAGGCAAGAAGTGGACTTCAAGAAAGATGAAAGGTCGTGAAGGGAAGGACCTTGGCATCTGGGAGATTGGCTCCCAGGTTGCTGTGAGGCCGAGTCGGACTCTCTCGCTGTCCTAGGAGAACCGAGAGATGGCCGATGCTGGATCGTCGCACATCAGAGGTAACCTGAACATGGACAAAAGCAGGAACGTCCGCGCTGCGGAGGAGGATAATGCAGAGGGCATTGAAAAAAGTGGCGACAGTGGCTCGCACTCAGGATCATCGGCTGAAAATAGCGCAGCCGAGTGGGAAGACACGGCCATGGCTTTGTAGACCTTGACTGAGACAAAGAAGTCGTCCAGCATAGATGGCTACTATAGCCATGAACACCAGCGCTAGATACTATACTGTAGCCAGCTTGGCACGCTAACAATGATGATGCCTCAGGTCATGCGGGAGGAAGCCTGGTTGGGAGTACGTCTGCCAAGCACAAGGGTCACAGCTGGCTTGGCAGACCTCGGCCGGGATCGCGTCGTCAGTGCCGATAGGTTCCAGGTGGCATGTGAAAGCGCAACGACGACGCGTGTTGTATCGTATATGGAGGAGGGGCTCCCGTGGACTGCAATCTGCTGAATCGCGCCCTCTGTCTCGCCTTCGACATCGCCCCCCAAGCCCTACACACCGTTGCCGCGCAATCCATATGCAGTATTCTGGGCGGAAGAGGCAAATGAGGATACTGGGAGCATAGCGCTGAGTTATGGCTGACGGCCAGGCATGGAGCGGGAGCGAGAGTGGCCTGCTTGTTGCTGCCATCTTAAGCATGCTGGGCAACCTGTTGAAATGGCCCTTTGTACGAGCTACCCGGCTCGTGTTTGCTTGACCGTTTGCTGACTAGGTTCTAGAGCGTTTTGGCCTGGTTATTGGAAGAATCGTCTGAATCACGATACCTGCGCCAGCTCAAGTCAGCTACGACTTTCTCAAAGTGGCTTGAAGCGGCCAAAGGCCTTGACAAGCAACCCGAAGCTCTGGGGTGGATCCTGAATCCCATCGACAAGCACTACGGCTGGAAGCATGTCAGTGAGCGGCGCAAACTCCTTGGACGTCTTAGAAATGAGGGTAACTACATTCAAATCGGCGATACCCTTCGACATTCCCTCATGCGACACATGTATAATATCACCAACCTGGCACTCTACAAGCAGACATACATGACCACCAAAGAGGAGATACATCTTTACGTGAACGAGACAGTGGCTGCCATCAGAGCTGTCACCAAATCGCCTCCGGCACTTGCTACCAGAGCTGGGCGTTTCTCTGCCCAGGATAAGCGGATTCTGCTGAGTGATCTGCAGAAAACCTATGGCAGGACAGCGCTGGTCCTACAAGGGGGGTCCATATTTGGCATTTGCCACCTGGGCGTTGTGCAGGCACTTGACGAACAGGCTATTTTGCCCAATGTCATTGTCGGCACAGCTACTGGCGCGCTGATGGCGGCACTTGTCGGAAGCAAGACTGAACAGGAGTTGCCTGACTTTGTCTGCGGCGAGTCCCTAGATCTGAGCGCCTTCGCCAATCGCTCTCGTCAAGCGCAAAGGGAGACGTCAGCGAAGAGAAAGCTGCCACGATTTCTCTGGCCCATGGAGCGGCTGCGCAAGTGGCTTCAAGTTGTCATGCGTCGTTTGCGAAGACTTGTCCAGGCCGGTTTCGTTCTTGATCCAGATGCGCTGGCGCAATGTGTACGCGACAATGTGGGCGATATGACGTTTGAGGAAGCATACAAGCGGACCGGCCGGGTCCTCAACATCGTTGTCTCATCACCTAGTGAAGAAGTTCCAAGCCTCATGAACCATTTGACAGCACCTAGGTATCTTATACGGTCGGCAGCAATGGCATCTCACGACGCAAACGTTGGCCAGAGCCAGCTCGATGCTCTGCGGCTGTTGTACAAAGATCTGGACGGGAACATTCGAGCCATAGATGCGAAGATACCGCAAGGACGGCAAAGACTGGACCGGCCGACCTCATCGGCGGAACAAAATAACCCTTTCAGACGTTTGCGGCAGCTTTTCAACGTCGAACATTTTATAATTTCGCAAGCACGTCCTTACATCGCGCCGTTCTCTCGCCCATCCCTTCCGTATCTGCGCGGCAAAAGGCAGGACCGAAGATGGATCCCCCATGTGGTTGGACTGTGGATACGTGCATTGCTTGTCTCACTGGACTTCCTCAATGTCCTCCCAGAGAGATTACATCGGATTCTCAGCGACGAAACAATTGGCACTGGAAACAATATTACATTGGTGCCTGAGATAACATTCAGAGATTGGCCTCGGTTGCTCCAGAATCCCAAGCAGGACCTAATCGATACATGGCTACTGAAAGGCGAACGAGCCGTATGGCCTTCGATCTGCGCTCTAAGGATTCGGATGACCGTCGAGCTTGAGCTGCAAGAATGTTGGGATGAGCTGCGTCAACGACGAACGCCGACTGCTCAAGAGAATGAGGCAAGGAGTACAGGCAGAGAAGACGCGGCCGGGCAGCCGAACCCAGACCAAAGGAACCGAAACCGCGAAGCCGAGGATCGCCTGCTTAAGGACATGCAACGAGGCGTTGGTGGGTTTGTGCCAGGCATTACTGGAATGGATCATATCGGGGGTATCAGTACTCGGGAGCATTACAGCGAGATAGATGGCGCAGAAGCGGATGGAAACGACAGGCATAGAAAGGTGCCGCGACTAATCCTCAATGATTCGGCGGTCAAATAGTCGGGATTGACGAGCGCAGCCTTATATTCATGGCATTTATTGTCTCACGCATAACGATAGGCGTGGCTCGCATGATTCTGCGTGGACACAGGATCAGGGTTCTTAATAATGGAAGTATCGCGAGACCAGCGGTCACGCTTTGATATTCAGTGTTGTACATATGGGCCAAGTATGGCCTCAACACATCCAGGGAAGGTCTGTCAGTAGCAACATACAAGTTTCTGGTATCACATGAAGTCTATATCTCTACCGAGTGGATGATTGATGGACCAGCAGACGTCACATCGTTTACCGAGCTGTCTCACCCAGGTCGTACCGCTATCTCGCCTTTGATGACCCGTCCATACAAGCCAACACCTTTTCCAGCCACCATCGGGGCCCATCGCTGCCTGAAGTGAAAAGTCGCTCAGATGGCTTGCTTGGAAAATGCCGTCACGGAAAATGTTGCACATCAAGCCCAAGCCAAGGCGGCGTCCGGAACGCCTCGAAAACGCCATGCAGAATGCCAAATGGCATGTCCTCTTCTGCGTGCATTGAAGTGCAGTATGTGCTGCATTGTCATGGTATGCAAAACTCGCTTGAACGTATCCAGAAGTAGTGTTCATCAGAATCAATAGATCGCGGGCGTCGGAAGCTAGAAGCAAGTCCAGTCGATTTCATAAGTGGGCTGGCGGTTTGACTCCCAGCTCTGCTCAATTCCAGGCTCATTGCTTCTTTTTCTCCGCCTCTTGCTTCCCTTTCTGCTGTTGCTCCATACCCGCTTGATTTCGTTTCGACTTCTCTTTCTTCTTCCTTTCGTTCCATGACTCGCTGATGAAGTCTTTGAACTTCTCCCATGGATTTCGATTGAGCCTGTTGCTCAATTGCCGGAAATTGTACATCTCTCCCCAGCAGTCTCTACCCCACTCGCATCCTGCCATGTTGACCAAGAAATCGCGCTCTTCTTTCTGGTAGTGTATACCTTGAATGCCGCATTCTTTCATGTCGTCGCCAACCTTGAGCGATTTGCAGCCTCCAGGGGGAAGACCTCGATCATCGCCACAAGCGCCATTTGGAAAAGCGTTGACCTTTCGCTGCGGTACGAAGGCAACGTGAGGTCGAATCCACGGCTGATTGGTGTAGATGTACTCCAGCGCATCCTGTTCTTTGTGTTCCCATTCCATATGCCTCTGCTCATAAAACACCGGATCCCACCATATGTCCAATATTCTGTCAGTCCAGTGACTTCTTTTGACGAAGAACGAGCCCAAGTTGAAACCACCGCAATCTTGCGGTACGATCAAGTTGATGCTCTCTGGCTTGCCATCTCCAACGGGCGACAGACTTTCCGCGTCCAAGTAGTTAACAAACTGCGGAGCATTTGGGTTATCCGATGTCCCATTCGGCGGATGTTTGATCTTCAAAGGATTGTACACGTTGATGTCCCGGTACGTGTTTTTGTTGAGGTCGTTGAAGATATGCGACTGGAGAGAATAGTTAGGTTCCATTATGAAGGTGTTGAGGTCCAGCCACCAAAACCTGTAGTTGCCATGTGTCAGTTTTAGTCAACGTTGCGAGATGCCATGATGCAGCGTACCATTCGGCATCCGGAAACTTCTTCATGGCATTCCGAATGATGTCCACTTTCTCCCAACTCTCTCGCCATTCGTGTGCATACCGTTTCTTGGTGCTCATGTCCACAATGTGGAGATTGTAGCCCCATTGCGCTGCGTACTTCTTCTTGTTTTTCACACTGTCTCTTTCTATCGCCCATTCTCTTGCACCTTTCCACTCCATCACGCCTCCGCCTTGATTCGCGCCTAGAATGATGACGAATTTCGCGCCACCACCCAGCCATGATGTTCGTCGGTACTGATATACGAGTGCTGGAGCGCAAGATTAGCTGAGACGACGTTCCACGGCCGTTGACAAGGTACCCACAGTTTTTGAAGAAAAATAACGCGAATGTCAGAATCAATATCACCAGCGCGTACCACTTTCGTTTCCGTGACAGTATCAACCCCATCCTCCTGACCATCTCAGCGAGCAGTTCAGTCCACTGCATCTTCTGAACCGGTAATCGTCCGCGGCCCAGCTTCTCTTTCTCTGCAAATCTACCATCCTGTCCGCCGTATGCATATGGTAAGCTCATGCTCAGTTTCCGTTTGAACCTCCCAAAGAAGCCTTGATTTGTGCTTTGATAGCTTGGGTACCCGCTGATTCTCGCGGAGCGCTGCTTTGCGCTGGCCCATGTGACATCGTGGCCGCCATTCATGCCGCTGCTCGCACTTGGCGAGGCTCCACGTAGGCGTTTGCCGTTGATTTCGCCATCAGGAGTGGTCAAGCCTGGCGACGACCAGCCGCCGTCGCGCCTCGGAGACGGGCTGCGGTCGAGCGACATGTGCTGGCGGTGCTGGTCGCGCTCGTCGTCCTCGTCGAAAGATGTGGTGCCCAGCGTGAGCGAGGCGTGACGCGTGGGCGACGTCGATGCTCGCAGGCCAAAGGGAGCTCCACTCCCAGCCGTCAGCCTGGTTGAGGCAGAGGTTCCAGTGACTCCACTGTTTACTGCAGTTACCGGAACATGGGCCTGGGGTTGGGCATGGGCATTGAGATGGCTCGCAGTATGGAGATTGCTGCCGCCGCGAGAGGGCCGACGACGGTGGTTCGAGCCGGCGGCGGTGGAGGCAGCCTCAGCTCCACTGGCGGGCGATGAGTAGGCCACCTTTGCGATTGCTGGTCGCGCTCTCTACGATGCTCACGCCGCCCTCACCCTCACCGCAGCGGTGAGCGCTCCGAGATTTGCGTGCAAGGGAGTGCGGCGGCGAAAGCGGGAGTGTCGAGTCGAGTCGGCTGCAGGAGCGTGGAGGAGCAGTACTATGTGGCTAAGCCTTCGCGTATGCAAGTCGACACGGATATGTCGTGATTAGTCGATGCTGATTGCGATCCTGCAGTCGTCGTGGCGCGCACTCATCGGGTGCGGGTGGATGGAGAGGTGTCAATCAAATGGCATGGCACAGAGCACGTGTGTCTCAGGCGCGAAGAAAGGGATGCCACCGCAGCTAGAATACAGTACGCTACGCCCAGAAGTCTAAACTGCTGAACTGCTGAAGACTAGTGATGCCAGGAGTCGATTCTGTAAATTATTGTAATCTGTATCTCCCACAGTCCCACCACCGACACTTGTCACTAACACACCGCACAGCCACAGCATCTGCCTCATTACGACGCCGCAGTGAGCCTGCATCCCGCCCATCTCCACCTTCACCCGCTATCCCTCCAACGCCACTATGCATTTTTTTTCTCCCGCTTGCCCGCCTGCTGTGATCGTCCTTCCAGGCAATCCTGCCGTCCTGCACCCTGGCTGGGTCTGCTTTGAGTTTCGCTTCCCATAAGGCTCGACCTTGAAATGCATCTACAGGTGCCAAGTCGAACCATCTAATCTCAGCTTCCGTGCATCACTTTGTAACATCACGCCATTCTTCGTCTTCTCTGTGGCTAACCTGATGCTAACGCCGCCGACAGTCAGAGACTAATTGGGGGCCAACGGGCAGCAGTTGGACGGGAATCGAGCCTGAGTGTTGATTGGCAACAATTTATGCCACACTTTTCAGGACACTTTTCTAGAGTGGAACAATTGTTGCTCTAGCATGACACAGGTTGTCGAAATATACAGAGACCGCAAACCTGGCGCCAGGGTGCCGTTTCTGTATATTCGTCGTCTCCCTGAAATCCTACGGAAAAGTCTCTCTGGTTACATTCAAGTATTGCTTTTGCAGCCAACTTCCTACTGTATCTGCCTTGCACACAGGCATCTCACAACCATGCATTGCAGCGTCTGCCGATCCTTCCTGAAGTATATGACAACGACCGCGTGCAATCGCTGAATGAATCGTCTTGATGCATTGCCGGGTTCCAACGGGATGAGTACTATGCGCAAGAGCAGTGTGGAGTCGCATTACCTTGGAACGAAAGCATGTGGCGATGCTTTCCCAATCTCGATTTCATCATGAGTGTTCATATCGCTGGACGTATAGAAGCGACGGCTGCACAGCATACTCTCGCTATATTCTTGCGCCAACCTCGCGAAACTGCATGTACCAATGATAGTGCAACGATTGGTCGTTCACATGATCTGTTGAAAATGGTATCAACTGCTGGATGAAAAAATGCCGCTCAAGCTGCTTGCGCGGCCTTCTTGACCTGATAATCACTCATGAAGTCCGGATTGTTTTCAAACTCCTCCTTGAGCTAAAGGTTGGTCAGCGCGGTTCTTTCCAGTGGTTTAGGCAGTGCGACTTACAATGTCCAATCCGCCTACAAGCTCGCCATCCATGTACACTTGTGGGAACGTCGGCCAGTCGGAGAACTCCTTCAGGCCTTGCCGCACCTCATCATCGGCTAGAATGTTGAAGAATCCATACCGTACCCCTTTCTCCCGAAGGATCGCGACAGTCTGCCTGGAGAAGCCACATTGAGGGGCACTCGGTGTGCCTTTCATGAACAGCATCACTGGAGCGGCCTTGACCAGCTCAGCGAGTCTCTTGTTGAGCTCTTCTTTGCTTGGTGCCCCATTCAGCTGTCCGTCGCTGGAGTGCGGCGCAGATTGCTGTTCGCCAGGTCCATGCTTGTATTGAGACATATTGCCACTTGAAACCCCGCCCATAGTTGCATCGTTGTGTGTCTGCGGTGTTACATTCTGCTTGGGCGGAAGGGAGGCGCCCGGCTTGCCATCTTCACCAGCGTGCCGCTCCACCGCACTCCGAACCTTCGCAGCATCCGTGCCTGTCACGCTCTCGAGAACCTGACCATTCTTCTGAAGAACAACAAAAGGAACTTGTGTGACATCATAGCGCTCAGATACATCCGCAACTTCTTCCGCATCCAGAGACAGGAAGGCTATTCGTGGCGGAGTAGTATGCTCGTATGTACTGGCGAGAGTGGTGAGGATAGTGGACATCTGTTTGCATGGCTCGGCCCAAGGAGCATGGAAGTAGATGACTGTCAGGCATTCTGCTGGAATTTGTTGGATTGTCGTGTTGAAGTCGGCTTCTGTAGCGATCGGATGCAATTGAGCAGGACTGGAGGCCATGTTGGCGGTGGGTGATGTTCTCTTGATTTAACGCTGTGTGTAAGAGGTGGGTCTGGGCGGTCGCGGTGTGGCAAGGAGTTGTGGAATCAGAAGCGTCGCAACTGATTAGTATCATGGATAGAGTCGGAATCGGCATCGGAAAAAGGTTTCTTATCGATATCGGCAGGACGGTTTACTTAGCTAAACCTTGCACCTACGAGGCTTCTGAACTTCTGAAGTTCGCTCAGAAATATTTCCAGCTTGGGCCCCATATCAAACTATAGCAACATTGTGCCCTGCGCACATCAGGAACGGAACCCGCCCACCCTCACAGCGATATAAACACACACACTCGCGAAATCGAACCATCTCTGGATCGTCATGGCGCTCCCTATACGCGAGATCAAACCCAAAAATGCTCGCACAAAGCGCTACCTCGACAACAAGGCGCCACAAATAGTCGAGAATCCCAAGACCACGCTTTTTCTGCGCTACACGACCGTCTCCGAAGTTCTTTCGCTCGTGATGAAAGATCTACACTCGATAAAGCGTCCCCTCTGCGTCAAGTTCGACAAGAAGAACAGCATACACCCCTTTGAAGATCCCAGCAGTCTCGAATTCTTCGCCGACAAGAACGATGCGTCACTCATGGTGTATGCCTCTCACAGTAAGAAGCGACCGCATGCGTTGACACTAGTGAGAATGTTCGACTTCAAGGTGTTGAACATGATGGAATTGCTTGTGGATCCAGATACATTCCGTTCGCTGTCGCAGTTCAAAAATGCAAAAGCTGCTGTCGGCCTGAAGCCTCTACTTTCATTTTCAGGGAGTGCTTTCGAGTCGCCGATCCCCAACGAATTTACCTTGGCCAAGAGCATGCTGCTAGATCTGTTCAGAGGCCCGGATGCAGGCAATGTGGATGTCGAGGGCTTGCAATACATGATCCATTTCAGTGTAGATGAGGAAGAGAAGGACGGTGTCAAACCGCAGATTCACATGCGATGTTACTTGATACGGACTAAGAAGGGTGGCGAGAAGCTGCCTAAGGTCCACCTGGAGGAGATGGGTCCTAGAATCGATTTCCGCGTCGGGCGTGTGCACGAATCGGATCCAGAGATGATGAAGGAGGCCATGCGGAGGCCGAAGACGACAGAGGTGAGCATATTTCATTCAATATTCCGTGATGTAGTCATTATACTGACACTTGACTTCAGGCCAAGCACAAAAAGAACATTGAGACCGACACAATTGGCGACAAGGTTGGGCGCATTCACATGGGTCGTCAAGATCTCTCTCAACTTCAAACGAGGAAGATGAAAGGTCTTAAGCGAAGTCGCGATGTCGTCGACGAAGGTGGTGATGATGCAATGCTGAGCGACGATGGCGAGGACGGCGGTGTGCAATTCGATGACAAACGACCAAGGATCTCAGCGTAGGCTTCTCCTCTCGATTTGACAGCTTCCCTGTTCTTTGAGCGAGGCGTTGGGGATATGTAAAAACAATTTCGATGTTAGCAAACAGCATGCTGCAAGGAGTTGCTGTGGACCGCTTTGTTGAAATCAGGGTGCAGAGCTGAGCGACAATTTGGGCTTCCAAATGTATTGAAAATGATTCGAATGGCTTTGCGGCATGGCGAATTGCCAGAGGCATGGCAAGAGAGCCTGGCTGCATTGCCCTTCGCGTGGTCTAGCTAACAAGTGAGACTACTCTGTCCAACGTCCTTTATTCCTTTGTTACATTTGATCAGCTGCTTTGTTTCACGCAACAATGCAATTGATTCAGAGTAGTGCGTTACGATCTGCGGTACAGAGTATAAAAAAGTGAGATCCCATCAATGTACAGTTTAGATAGAACATGTTTCTCACTGCTAAGATAAATAAGAAGCTGTCTTCGCACTTGTCTCCACCTGATCCTGATAACACGAGCTTTGGCAGGATGCCCGGCTACCGCCATCACTTCTTGCTAGATCAGGAAAAGGCTGGGCTAGACGCGGATAATGCGAAGCAAGACGCAGGCCGTTTAGAGGAGAAGTGTCGAGAAGGTGTTCACAATGCCGTCAATCGACTGAATAAAGACATACGACGACGGAAGACGAATCCTGAGGTCTGAGGGTGTGGTCGAGTTTTGGTCGATTCCTGGGTTGCTGATCTACACAGACGACAGTCAATACTGCTGCGAAGGAACAGGCATATTCGGTTTGCTATTTTCAGAGATAACGCATCGTAAATACAGCGTCAAGATGAGCTTTTACGAATCTTATGATCCCGTTTCTCCCAATCATTGTTCACGAATGCCTTCCGAGCTCACGTCCCCTTTCCTGGTTGATGAGCTGTCATAGAGTCTCGCTTCTGATCGTGGATATGGACTAGTTGATGATCTCCGCGAAATTCATGTACAAAGAGAGTACGTATGCTGAGAAGAAAGACCACGAAAGATTGTTCTTCAGACAAAGAGCCTACAGAAGCGGTATGTTCTGTACGTTCCGCCGAAGCCCAAAACTTCGACAATCTTCAGTCACTCATTGAAAAGCATGTGTTGTCACAGTCGCGTAATATTTGCGACTTGCGGCCACAGCAGCTTTTGCCCGCGGCCTCTGGTGGAATGTCGACATGCGTCCTTCGATCCGTCCGTGCCTTGGTCCACAGGCTGCGAGATTGTGGCACACCCGTACAAGAGTCTGCGTCTCGACCAGCTATGTCCACCTTGTCAGAAGCGACGAGATGCCTTGATTCGAGACATCGAAGAGCAGCAAGTGGTGAAGTTTGACGAGTGGCAGTGGAAGGTCAGCTACGGCATGCCAAGTCATGGCGGGAAGGACTATTGGGGCAAGAAGGCTGAAGAGCGCGAGGCGGAGGAGAGAAAGAAGACTGAGCCTGCCGCAGATAGCAAACAGAAGAAAAGTACGTTGAAACGATTTAGTTGGCGGAGGAGTAATAAGAGGAAGAGTGAGCGATTGAGAGACGGGCACGTAGATGGAGATTTGACGCCCACGATTAGTTCGATTGTGGAGTGAGGTTTCCACCTGGAGATCCACGGTGGCCACTCGAATTGGGTTTAGTCAGATTGAGCTTGTCGAACAGCATGCGACAGGCGTCTTGTGCAGAAACACCTCAGGTGAAGCACAGCCGGCGCCCATTGACCACAGCGGCACTCTTCACGCGAACTCGACGCTCTCAATAGCTACACGAGCACCGTTTGGACATTGTTGACAGGCCGAGCGCGGCCACGACACCTACAGACATCTCTGCAATGCCAACACCAGAGTCCGAGTCCTTCAAGGCCGCAAAGCCGAAAGTCCCACCAACATTCGATGGCGTAGATTACGATGACAACAAGGCCCTCAAAGCGGCGCAAGACTCCATCATACGTGAGCAGTGGGTGCAGAGCATGATGGCGCGGTTAATCCGAGAGGAGATGGGCAAGTGCTACTACCGGGAGGGAGTGAACCATCTGGAGAAATGCGGACATTTGAGAGGTGAGTTCGACAGTTCTCTGAGAGATTTTTTCCTGAGCATCACCGCTGACAGCCGTGTAGAGCGATACTTGCAACAATTGAAGCACGCCAAGATCAAGGGTTACTTGTTCGAGCAGCAGAACTACATATCGAAGTCGGAATGAGGAAGCGAATTCGCCAGGGATGCGTTACGAGAGAAGGAACAGCCAGAGGAACCAGTTTAAAGAGTCGCCCCAAGGTGTCCGCCACCACCTCGCGCCGACCTGTCTGGGCATAGAACTACTGTACAGATACTCGATTTTTGCGTTACTACTCACACGTTTCGAGCCCTCGATCAGCCTCGTAAACATGGATGCAGATAAATAGTTGTATGCGCCCATGAATTCGCGTCGCTAAAAGGAGCCTGAGGCATGACATCAGACACAGAAGTCGCCCTGACACGGCTCCATGCAGCAAACTCTACTGCACTGTGCATACTTCAAGCCGGCTAGCGGCGGAGCAAGAAGTAGAAGATGTGAAGCCTTGTGATTTTGGGGAAGGTGTGATCAGTTTAATCAAGATGATATTGCTGGGGGTCCGTGAACCCACTTCACAGTACTGTATCGCCGTACCCGATCCCTAACCTGAGCTGCAATGCTTCTCGCAGGTCTCGGAGAATACAGCCTAATCGTGATGTGCATAACACTCATCGCCATGTCTCAAACCTGGAACGCCATCGCTATACTGTAAGGCACCCATACTCATGCACCAACCTGCTGCTCGTACCATGTTGGTTCCTCTCTCTGGAGGGCAGTGGTGATCTTCTCCACTTCTTCGGAGAGTCCGGCCACATTCTTGTCCCAGAGACGAAGCTCTACCTTCGGGTTGTTGGGCTCCTTAGTGTTGAAATGGATAATGCCAGCGATTTGATCGATGGAGCCAGACAAGCGATTGCTCTCAATCATGCCAGAGGCGTAGACTTCAGCACGATCAGCATCCACGCCAAGCAGCTTTCCCAGATTTCCAAAGGTGATGTTGGCGTAAATCCGGGACACAGCAAGCAAGTTGTGCTCGAGTATAGCTTTGTCCAGCACAGTACTGCCATCCGAGGTCTTGGCAAGCTGATGCTCCTTCAGTCCGGCTGCGAACGTGGCAACCTCTGCAGGTGATAGGAGGCGGTCCAGGAAGATTTTCTCAAGGATACCTTAACAAGGATTAGTTGAGATGCGCAAGCAATGGACTAGTGACGCCAACACTCACCATATTCAGGAGCATCAGTTGCACGCTCGTCCTTGTACAGCTTGGCAAGTTGACGGCCACGTTGAGGTCCAGCAGGTGCAAGTACAGCGCATGTGATCGCGGCAGAAAGCGCTTGCAACCGCTCTTCTTCATCAATCACTGACTCGGTGGAAAGTGCATGGTATGCTGTGGATGCATCAAGGAAGCTTCGCTGCGAGTCGCTGATACGTGCTTGCGATAGCTGGAATTGTAGGCGGGTGGCTTGGTCGGAAACGTTATAGATGATTTGCTTGATCTTGTTGAGATAGGAGACTGCGTTCGTAGCATCGTCTTCTTCGAGGTAGCAGCGGCAGATCCGCATCCAAATCTTCGCCTTCTCGTCGTCGCTGACTTGACGTTGTGAGGACTCGAGCGTGATGGTCTGCAAGGTCTTGGCCGAATTGGTAAAGTCCTCATCTGCTTCATACGCATCGGCGAGAATCAACTTCAAGTCGGTGTCTTGTTGCTCAAAGGACACGACCTTCGATCCGATGATCTGAAGAATCTGCGGGCTGCAATAAATTGTCAGCGTTATTCTTGATTGCGCATGTGTCTCGGAGCACGAAGTCCATACCCAGCCTCAAGCTTGACGGCGTTGTTTCCGTAAGTGCGGAATTGCGACACGAACGCCGATAGCAGTGGTCTTGAGCTGATGACGCCGACCGAATCAGATGTGATGCTTTGTACGTAGGCAACGAGGTCATTGGCAACGTTTTCGGACGCCAATATTTCTTTCAGCAAGTCATCGTAGCCTTGAGTCCGTTGTGGCCCAGAGCCAGCTTCCAGCTGACTTAGTTGAGCAGCGATCGACATCTTGCGACAATTAGAACCGTTGCATGTCATAACGATGGGTCACTATACCTTGCGATAATTGCGCAAATGTTCGTCGGATGAAAGTACAAGTGAGTTGATGAAAGCGAGGCCCGTCGTTTGTCAAGTGGCGCTAGTGCGATCTCGTGCAGGGTTCAGGGCTTTCCTCAGGCACATCCTTTTCACAAGCATTGCTCGAACGTGAATAGGAAAGTGCATACATGTAATATCGAAGATGGTGCCGCAGAGACACTGGCTTCTCTGGCGGACGAATCATTCGTCTATGGTCACTACGGATGCGCTATGCCGAAAGACTTGCCTTCGATACGTGATCTTGCATCCTCTAATTCATCATTCCTGCAACACAATATTGTGAAAGCAGTCCCGTCGGTCTGCGGTGCAGTCCTCAATCCCGGCAGTGGCTTGAACATCGATACGCCGTGCTGACTGTCGTCCTCCATTCTATCCACTTGTTGCGTCGAACGACTGCCCGGCTTTGCACATCTGCCTGCGAATATGGCTTTGCGGTGACCTCCTGCTTTCATCGGTTTTCAAAGGTCACCTGCCGCAACACCCTTCACACCTCCACCAGCTCCATCACCTTCACCAGCTCCATTTTCACGACCATCTCTACCACTGCTTTCGCTATTATTGCCTGTTCCGGTGTTCTGGTTCGGTCCGACCAGGTCAGAGGTCAAGAACTCGCTGATGTCTAAATGCTGTGTTCCCTCGGGCAGTATCAGATCGTCATCCAGGTCAAATGTATCAAAATTTGGCTGCGTTGTGGCCGACGGTATTTCGATGCCTTCGAATGCGTCCCCAAACCCATGATTCTCTGTTCGAAAGATGTCGCCCGCTGCAAAAGCTTCTTGCGCGTGCGATGTACTCACCGACTGCTGCTGCTCAGGCACTTGAGAATGTATGCTGACATCATAAGTATTCGTTCTTGCAATTTTGATGGGCGCTGGGCTCGGCTGAACATCACGAGCATGTTTTCGCCCACAGCATTGGGCCCAGCTTCCCGTGCCATAGCTCTGGAATGGTGGCGGACAATTTTTGCAAGTACACCCACTGAGGCCGCAGTTTTGACAGATCGCCGACGGGAACTGATAACTGAAATAGTCCGCCCGCAATCGGTCGAGGTCGAATGCTGGAGGTATTTGCGGTGAGAGTGGACCTGACATAGTATGGTCAAGCGTGCCATTAAGTCCGTTGCTTGCGGGGCCCATCGATGTTGGTTGGCCATGAGTGCTCTCGTGTTCAGGCCTGGGCGAACGAGCATGATGCACGGATGGTGTTGAAGATTGGCAACATGACTGTTCTTCCTGTGGAAGACTCTCGAACATCGGATGGAACTCCTGTGGTGCGGGAGGTGCCTGGCCTTCCCATGTCAACACGTCAGGAGGAACATCATCTTGTGATCCCATTGGCGCCCCAAGTCCCATCACATCAAAGCGTGGAGTCAACGTCGTTGACTGTGACGGAGAATATCCGCCATAAGGACTAGATATGGTTCGCATCGGCTGTACATGGCCGTTTGCGCTTGGAGTTCCAGGGCCACTGTGTATTAAAGGCGGTGGACTGGCTATTGCAGAGTATGCCGGAGTTGGCGGCAGAAGGGTTTGAGCTAGGGCAGCCTGCTTTGCTTCCAAGGCCTCTTTGGTTGGAAAGAAATGGACAGTCGGTTTTCCGAGAGCTAGTAGTGTACTCCAATGGTCAGGGTCGAGGATACAGCAGTATCTCCCTTGTTCATCACAGCGGCATTCGCCACTGCGTTTTTCGCCCTTCTTCGATTTGTGAGGGCAAGCGGATCGCGCTACAACACACTTGCAGCCACCTGTAGCCCCGTAGCGGCATGTGCACGAATTCGATGGCCTTCCTGGCCTCTTGACCGTCCAGAATATCTTTGTCCGACAGACCGGTATGCCGCAAGATGTTGTGCGATGGCCTCGAATGCAGGACATACATGCCACTTTACATATCTGGTTCGTCCGTGAATCAATGACCTCAATGGTCTTGAATGGCTTCTCCTGCTCCATGTCCGAGATCTACTGAGTCTCTCGGACAAGCAGAGGGCTCTGAGGAGCACAAGTCAGCTATCGTTCGTTCGGACTCAGCTGCAGCATGAGTGCAGACTATGTTCGCCTCGCACAGACGGGGTGCCGATATAATAATGTCGAGGTATGCGGAATGCTCTGTATGGATTTCAATGGTTCCGCAAGACCAAAGACCAAAAGTAACATGCTGTCATACCTAGAATGAAGCATGCGGGGCGTTACAAACCGTTGGAAACTGACCTTTTTGATCGTTTCTTACGAATGAGCAGGTTTTCGGATAGACCCGCAGGCGCTCTGCAGAGACAGTCTGAGAATGTGCATCCAGAAGTACAGCTCCTTCTCAAGTCCGGCCTCAACGACGAAAGGGGCGGAAGCGTCTAGCGCCAGTCAGTCCTCGGAAAACTGAAGTTGAGAGCAGTGAGAGTCCAGGTCCCCGACAACACATTCACGTAGGCAGGGGTCGGTCCCGTCTTCCTAGCGTCTGAAACCTCGAAGTCCCGCTTACTAAAACTGGACACCAGACCAGAGTCGACCTTCGACGATGTTCGTATCGCTCTGCTAGATATCACACGGTGGCGTGGGATACACTTGGCGTCAGTGAGAAGGTGCTTGGGCGGAGTTCAAAGACTGGCATCAATAGCGCACGTGGCGCGCAGCAGTCTCGCTTTCAGCCAAATCTTTGTGTGCGCATCTGGGCTCCAACTTCCTCGAACAAAAACCACCTTGATGGACAAGAACGATTCTGAGAGCGAAGGAGGCGAGGACCTTTTTCGGGAACCTGAAGATTATTACCAACCAGAGAAAAGCCCAACTGTCGTGCAGCATACGACAATCTCTGGGCAAAATCTGAAGCTGAATTTAATAGGTAGCAGTCCGTTGTGGGTACGTGTAGAATTCCTTTATCTCTCCTCCACCCGCTTCAATTCATGGCGTAAGTGCAACTGGAATAGAACGCAATTTCCTTTTGAATAAGAACAGCTACTTCTATATTCGTTGGTCGTGCGCAGCATCTGGCAGCAAATTTGGAAGCAAAATGTTGACGCTGTAGCAGGGCCATCTTTTGTGGCAGGGAGGCCGCACTGTTGCAGATTTCCTCGAGAATAACCAAAATGAGTACATAAAGTCTAAGACGGTGCTCGAATTCGGAGCGGGTGCTGGTCTGCCAAGTCTCATCTGTGCCATCAACGGAGCAAGGCAGGTCGTCGTCACGGATTACCCAGAACAAGACTTGATCGATAACTTGAGACGGAACATCTCTGACTGTCACCTCCTGACAGACCCTTCAAACATCGCCGCAGAAGGCTTTCTGTGGGGCGGCGATGATACGATTCTCAAAGCTCACCTGCCAGACAAGCAACAAGAATCTGGCTTTGATTTGCTCATTCTCGCCGACCTCCTGTTCAACCACTCTGAACACCATAAGCTGTTACAAAGTGTCCGATCCAATCTGAAGAAGAGTGCGGAGGCCAGCGCGCTCGTCTTCTTCACACCCTATCGTCCATGGCTGTTCGCAAAAGACATGGCTTTCTTCGACCTCGCAAAAAGCGGCGGTTTTGTTGTGGAGCACGTCTTTGAAACTGTATTGAATAGCGTCATGTTTGAGAAAGACCCTGGTGTAAGTCTTCGACATAGTGCGGCTTGTACTTGACTAACTTGATCTTACAGGATGAACTGTTGAGGAGGACAGTCTTCGGATATCGAATGAAGTGGGCATAGTCCTTCAAGAATCACAATGCACGGCTGCTGATTTACCCTGATGGCATGAGGAAGAGATCGTATCTCCTTTTGAGATCGTCTTGCAGTCCCGCTCGTGTCTCAAATATCTCTTCGTTGTACAATCTTTCATTCTACTCCACGTCACCAAATTCTGCTCGACCAGCTTTCGAGTTGAGATATTCGTTTCTATGACCTTGTTAGCGTCTGCTCCACCAGCACGACCCGGAATGAGAGAAGCGCTGGCGCATTTCTCGAGGCCGAAAGCCTGTCGGACCGCGACTCACCTCTCAGTAGCCCATTGCATACACTCGTACGCAATCAAGAGAGGAACACCCCAGTACAGGATTTGACCGCGTGTCCTTCGGAAGGTGTTGAAAATGGCTGCGTTGAATGTTCCAGCAAGTGGGTTTTGTCGGTTACCAGAAATGCCGTAGTGCACAATGCCCTTCTGTGGCATGGAGCCCAATGCACCCCATGGGCCAAGATATCTATGGAATCATCAAGTCAGCTCTGCGCGAAGATAGGCACTGAGTGACTGCGGCCGTCCAAGCAGTGCTGTTCCGGAAAAGAACTCACTGTCCCGGCTTTTTCTCTCCACCACCGGCTCTGAGAATCTGCGAAGCCCTCATCGTGACCACCTTTTTTGATATCGGGTTCGAGCGACCGGTAGACGTAGGCGGAGATTTGGTGGGATGTAGGTCGCGGGCGCAATGGCGTGTGGTGGATGGCCGGTATTCTGTTGACGTCGCTTTCGAAGTTCGGGAGAGAGCGGCGAAGGTGCTTGGTCAAGAAGTGAAGCCGATTCTGATTGGTCTGCCCACAGCGTCTGTGCAATCTCATGAGCTCGACATCTACAGAACCTTGAAGACTGCACGAACAGTGGTGTTGTGCTTGTCCACCCATCATCACCGGACACAGTCCGATTCTAACCTCGACAATGGCGACCAACGCTCTCAACAGCATTTACCGCTGGGCCATACCCACCGCCGCCGCATTCTCGCTGGCCTCCGCTTCCATCTACGACGTAAAAGGTGGCACCAGAGCTGTCATCTTCGATCGACTACGCGGAGTCTCAGACCAGGTTCAAAACGAAGGCACACACTTCCTCATCCCATGGCTACAGAAGGCAATCACATTCGATGTCCGAACGAAGCCTCGGAATATCAGCACAACGACTGGCAGCAAGGATTTGCAGATGGTCAGTTTGACGTTGCGAGTGCTGCACCGCCCTGAGGTCCAGCAATTGCCGAAGATATATCAGGTGTGTCGACAGCAACTTAGCGATCTGTGACTTCAATCCGTGACTAATACTTCTGCAGAATCTTGGCCAAGACTACGATGAGCGCGTCCTCCCCTCTATCGGAAACGAAGTACTCAAAGCTATTGTTGCTCAGTTCGATGCTGCAGAGCTCATCACACAGCGTGAAGCAGTCTCAAATCGCATTCGCGCCGACCTCTTGAAGCGAGCATCAGAGTTCAACATTGCACTCGAGGATGTCAGCATAACGCACATGACATTTGGTCGCGAATTCACTAAAGCTGTCGAGGACAAACAGATTGCACAACAGGATGCTGAGCGGGCACGCTTCATCGTAGAGAAGGCTGAGCAGGAACGACAGGCGAGTGTCATACGTGCCGAAGGAGAATCAGAAGCTGCAGAAGTCATTTCGAAGGCTGTAGCAAAGAGTGGCGACGGTCTGCTTCAGATTCGAAGGATCGAAACGCAAAAAGATATTGCGCAGATGCTGGCGAACAACCCGAACGTGACATACCTTCCAGGAGGCGGCAACGGAGATGGAGGCAGTGGTGGTGGCAAGGGCAGCTTCCTGCTCGGTCTCAGATCATGATCCAGTCTGAGAACGGGAGAACTGTAAAAGAGAAGGCCTTTATATTATGTGCGTATTCCACAGAAATATGCATAGCGTGGCTTCGGACGAAATACACAATACTTCACTCTTCTCTGCTCAGTGCAGACATTCTTTGCATACCACCAGGCTCTACGAAGCATGTTCGGCGACTCTCCAAGAACAAAATTTCCAATCTCCAAAGTCGCATTTCAATGACGATGTCGACATAGCCAGCGATGCAGAGGACAGCAATTAAGTATCTGTGGTATCCCTCACGGATGAGGCTTGCGAACAAGTGGGCATCCCGGTCCTGGTCGTCCTTCGCGTCAGGACTAAGTCGCCATGTTTCAATCAATGCTAATAACCTTCGAGGAACCATAGAAGCCCATCCGAGGCCCTTATACATTGACCTGACCAACTGATCCCTCTAGGAAGGTCGATGAGCCAACTCCAGGTTGCTGAACGAATAATTCACAGAAGAATCTCAGCAACCCGAAGGAGTGAGTGCTACAGCAGCTCACTGTGACGATGAAGTGGGCTGTGGGCCCGAGGTTGAACCATCAAGAGAGATGCTGGATTTGGCCCATATTATGAAAGGCGTTCTCTATCGCATGGAAGGTTTGAAATTGCAACCTTTCAAGTTTCAAAACCGAGTGTGGACCATGTTCCAACCCTGCTACGGTATTTCAGTCGGTATGGTAGGAGTTCACTAATCTAGACTGCTGAACAGAAGACCTACATCCACTTCTTAAAAGCCTTATTTAGTAACTCATGCTGAACGTTGCAGAGCTCTGATGAAGTCGCCCAGTGTGCTTTGATTACCGCGAGATGAAGCGAAAGCATATTGACCCATGAGTGTTACAGACTTGGATGGTGGGATGGTATGGCACCGGGGGCGGTGTCAAGGATGCCCTTGGGGCTGCAGAGCCGCATGCACATCTATCTCAGCACCTCTATTGGACGTAGCTGTGGATAGTCACTAAAGGGCTGGTGCGTTGTGAAAGCGTACGTGGCTGTGTTGGTCACTGTGTGAGATTTGCCATGTCAATGACCTCGAGTTCTCGGATGCTTTTTTCTGGGGCCGAGAATATAGATCGCAAAGGAGCTGTCACCTGCACCGTTACCCAGAAATGCATTGCTGACCTGACTTGAGCACAAGCTCTGCTTATCACCATGCGGTGAGTCGGCGTCACTGAAACCTGCTTCGACTACCGTATGGCAGCAGCCGGAACTACGACAGAGGCTCACAACGATGCACCACATCTCGTTCGCCCACATGCGAGGAACGGTCAATATGTAGACAGGAGCAGCGCAACGTGCAGGAAAGCAGTGCGGGAGACATTTCGACTCACTTTGGTGTGAGATTCTCCCGCATCAAGATTGCGGTCAAGAGATCGTCCTCTGGCAGATTGATGGCGCGGCAGGAGCGAACGTACAATCTGTGGTTCCTTTTGCTTGGCACGGCGCTAAGTGGAAGCGACGACGACTACAGTACGGCCCTCATCGCTGTCTCTCCGATGGGCGATCACGAGAGATTCGAGTGCGCCGCATGCAATGTGAGCTCCTGTCTCCCGCGCAGGCACTGTTCCTGTTCCTATTCTTGTTCCTGAGGTCGTGTGCTGTACTGTAGCTGTTTGTTTAGGTTCTCGAGAAAGGAATGCGATGCTCTGTACACAGTACTGCCCAGCTGTACCTGCATTAGCGTCGGCCACAAGTGGCTAGCGGCGAAAATGTCGCTGCATTGGTGAGAGAATCAAGAGACACAAATCAGACGACAAACCCAGGGCTGCGCGGCTGCGAATGGGACACCCTTGCGAGCACAGCAGAGGGTGCTGAAGACGCTCTCCGCGAACCAAACAAGCGGGCAAATGTGAGACGAACGACTGGTTGGTTGTGTGGAGAGCGGTGACTCCATGGCACAAGCAAATAACGCCGTGTCAGACAGCGTGAATACTGTACAGTACTGTAGTACTGTATCGGCAGGCCATGCGCCCGAGACGGCGAGACGTCCACAGGGCGTCTGTGCTCAGTGTGATCAGTGTGCGGCAGTAAATGAGGGTGCGGAGGATGGCGTGCGGTGGACGGCAGCAGCGCGTGTGTGCAATCCTCTGCAAGCGTGTGCAAGCGGCGCCGCTTCGCTCAAAGGCTGTAGTATAGCGTGAAAAACAACGACGGCGAGCGCTGGTCCACTCGAGTCGGCGTGTTGCTTCTATGATTATTTACACGGCTCCCGGCTGAGATTATTATTGCGTGTCTGTGCGTCGTGCTGTGTCGGCCGGGCGTTGAGGCGGGCGGCGTGTGATTCGACGGTTAGCCGAAATTGTGCACTGGACGTGCAACAAGGCTCCTTTCACATCCCCCAACCATCGACGCTGTCGCTTCGCCTCGCCTCGCCTCTCCTCTGCTCTTTGCGCATGCGTCGACCCATTGACAGCCCGATGCTGTGAAAGCGCCTCTACCTTCGACAATCGACAATCCCATTATTCCACCCGAAGCCCTTTGCTTCGTTTCGTTCATTGGAATCAGCGCTCACCACACCTCCTCACATTCTTTACCGACTACATTTCGCGTGCCAAACCAGCCTTCCGGCCAGACCGAAGCGACAACAGACACCGCCACCCGAGTCACTCGTTCGCGCGACCCCCCACGACCGCCCTCGACAGCAACGACGGCAGCCTTACCACCCGCTTACGATCAATTGCACAAGCACACCTCGCTGGCTCGCTCGGGGTTCACAGGATAGCAGACATAGTTATCGTGGCTTCGCTGCAACGGACAAGGACAGACAACTATCCCCCGCGCACTTGACACTCGCACTCGAAACGAAACCATAACCAACCTCAATCGATCAATCTTCGGAATAGTGATCTGAAATGAAGCTATCCCTCGCGCTGCTCCAAGCAGCCATTGCTGTCTCCGCTGCGCAGCCCCACCGTCATGGCCATGCGCACTTGCACAAGGAAAGACGTGACCCGGTCCCTAACCCGGCTGCGGACTACGTGACTGTGCCAGGACCTACCCAGATTGTGTATGTGCTGAATGGCCGCCCGATTTCTGAGGCGGAAGTACAGCAGGGCATCAAGAACGGCTCCCTTGTTTTCGCGCAAGACGGCGAGCTCTCGGCCGCTGGGTACTCTTCCCCAGCCCAATCTAGCCCTGCTCCTTCAACCTATGCTGCGCCAACCACCAGCACCACACCACCCCCGGCTCCTACGACCTATTCCACTCCGACTCCATCGCCAGCTGCATCATCCAGCGGCGGAGGATGGGGATCGGACGCGTCAGGCGTTGACTCTGAGTTTCCCGATGGACAGCTGTCTTGTGACACTTTCCCGTCCAAGTACGGCGCCGTTGCTGTTGACTGGTTGGGACTGGGAGGATGGACCGGTGTTCAGTGCCCGGGCTCCTCATCTGGCAGCGGTTACTCCGACATTCGCACTGTCACCAGTGGTGGCACATGTGAAGAGGGCTCCTACTGCTCCTATGCTTGCCCACCCGGCTACCAAAAGTCGCAATGGCCAACCATCCAGGGCGCCACGGGCCAGTCGGTTGGAGGCATTCAGTGCAAGAACGGCAAGTTGCACTTGACCAACCCGGGGATGTCCAAATCTCTTTGCATGAAGGGCAGCGATAAGGTCCAGGTCCTCGTTCAGAACAAACTCAACAAGAACGTTGCCGTATGCCGTACCGACTATCCAGGAACCGAGAGTGAAACTGTCCCCGTCAATGTCGAGCCTGGCTGCACCTCAAACCTTACCTGCCCAGATGCCAGCAACTACTACAACTGGCAAGGCAAGAGTACATCTGCCCAGTATTACGTTAACCCTGCTGGAGTTCCTGTTGAGAAGGCCTGCCAGTGGGGTTCTGCCTCCAACCCATGGGGCAACTACGCTCCACTCAACCTTGGCGTCGGTTACAGCAATGGTGCTGCATGGCTGTCTGTCTTCCAGAACGCACCTACCACAAATGCCAAGCTGGAATTCTGCGTCGAGATCCAGGGTGACAATGTTAGCGGCAAGTGCAAGTACTCCAATGGACAATACTGCGGAGGAGCCGACGGTAACTCGTGTAGCTCGACCACTGGTTGCACTGTAAGCGAACACATCCCTTTGACAATGACAACTCACTAACGCATCTCGCAGGTGTCATTGAGCTCAGGAACGGCCACGTTCGTGTTCTCCTAAGTCATGATTACGAGGATGCAGGCGGCCAACTACCCGCCACGGCACGACATGACAGCTCGAACTCTTCCCTCGATTTCTGTATGGCGTGTGGTCTAGCACCGCTCACGTATCACGAACAGCCCGGCAGCTCCTGTATATGATACCTGGCAATCTTTTCTTGGTCATGCCTTCGCAAGCGTTAGCGCAGGGTGCTGTTAGGCACCTGGTCGAATCGGCATAAGCATCAGCATCTGATCTTTCACGTCGTGTACGGTCCTCGCGCTGCGGGTTCGGTGCCGATCGAGTGCGCACGATTCTATCAATTTGGTTTACACAAATGTATGTTTCCTTACCAATGGTTCGAGCTTGTTTGTGTCGTGCAATGGTGAGGAGGTTGTTTTGCTCGTTTCCTCCTTAGGTCAAGTACGAGAGATGTGTATATGCTCTGTCCGATCTGTTGGACCTAGAAAAACAAGATCGACGTGACAATGACAGTGCTGGGCAACGCTGAGACGGGCGAGAGATGGACCTGCCTGTGGATGGTCCGATGGCATCAATCCGCTGATCTGGCATGCGAGGCGTTGCTGCTTGTAAATAATGTCCTTTTTTAATGTTGAATTGCGCCTCTCCTTGAAGACTTGTGCTCAAAGACATGCAATCCATTGTATTACACACATGGGTGACTTGGGCATGAGTGAGTGATGAGTGAGGTGAGACGAAGAAGTCACTTTCGCAGGCTGGGCTTGCTGGGCTTGGCTAACCGCCCCCACATCCTGGCTTCGTAGGTCTTCATTGCTGGAGGCAGCAGAAATCTCGACTTTACTTCACCACAAGCATTTTGCGCAAAGGTTCGATACTGCTCAGCCTCTCTGTCACTCACCCCAGCACTGTGATCGGAATTGCGAACAATAGCAATCATGGCAGAGGCACCAATTGGTAAGGCAATGGCTGCTCAAGCGCATGTCGGCCATGGCTGATTCAGTCGCAGTGCTCGATGGAGGCACCGGTTTCCTGAAGGCAGGCTACGCCGGCCAGGTTCGCAACAAACTGAGAGCGTCTGACGGAATGCTATTGACTCTTGCGGCCAGAACTTTCCGGACCACCAATACCCGTCAATTGTCGGACGACCAATATTGCGAACAGAAGAGCAGGCACCGGGGGACATTCAGCTGAAGGATATCATGTGCGGAGACGAGGCTGCTGCTGCTCGGTCGATGCTACAAATCACATATCCGGTACAGCTCTCTCCGAGATCAAGCTACCCGTGCTTAAGAGAATGTGCTGACGCATCAAAACTGCAGATGGAGAATGGCATCGTCAAGCGATGGGATGACATGCAACATCTGTGGGATTACACATTCTTCGAGAAGATGCGCATAGATCCCACCGGCCGCAAAATATTGCTGACCGAGCCTCCGATGAATCCATTGAAGAACCGTGAACAGATGTGCGAGGTCATGTTCGAGCGTTACAACTTTGGTGGTGTATACGTTGCGATTCAAGCCGTCCTTGCTCTTTACGCACAAGGCCTATCCTCGGGCGTTGTGGTCGATTCAGGTGACGGAGTCACTCACATCGTGCCTGTTTATGAGAGCACCGTTCTCAATCATCTCACACGAAGACTGGACGTTGCCGGCCGAGACGTCACGCGAAATCTGATCTCTTTGCTTCTTCGAAGAGGCTATGCACTCAATCGTACCGCTGATTTCGAGACCGTGCGCGCCATCAAAGAGAAGCTTTGCTACGTTTCATACGACCTGGCCCTGGATCAGAAGCTGAGCGAAGATACAACTGTGCTGGTGGAATCTTACACGTTACCGGACGGACGTGTAATCCGTGTCGGCAGCGAGCGATTTGAAGCGCCGGAATGTCTTTTCCAACCTCATCTCGTAGATGTCGAGCAACCTGGAATTGCAGAGTTCTTGTTCAACACCATTCAAGCCGCAGACGTTGACATCCGATCTTCTCTGTACAAGGCTATCGTGCTTTCTGGAGGCAGCAGCATGTATCCTGGACTCCCATCGCGAATGGAGAAGGAGATCAAGCAGCTTTGGCTTACAAAGGTACTGAACGGCAATCCGGAACGTCTTAACAAGTTTAAAGTACGGATAGAAGACCCCCCGAGGAGAAGGCATATGGTCTTCTTGGGTGGTGCTGTACTTGCTAATATTATGGCGGATAAGGAGGGCATGTGGGTCTCGAAGCAAGAATGGGAGGAGTCTGGAGCTCAGGCTCTGAAGAAGCTTGGTGAGAGATGATGAGCTACGGGATATCACATATCCGCGTAGTGTGACGACTCAAAATCGGATTTGAAGCTCGTGGCGAGACAGCAGCCAGCATTTTCGCGATGACCACTACAAGGGATTTTCTCTGGTGTAAAAACGCCGGCTGGTGCTGGGCCAGTAAGAGATCGCATAGCTCAAAGAAGAATTAAGCCACGGCAACCCAAAATGATATGAATGGAGAATGCAAGCTCTTCTCTCATGCGAGATCACCACAGATCCGGTACTTCACGCTTCGAAAATACGCATCTTTTCCAACATGTGCTCGCATCGCTACTCCTTGATTCCCAGCACAGCCCGCAATTCCTTGGTCTCGGTATGATCGGCAGTGCCACGCATTCTACTGCACCATTTGACCTCTCCTGCTTGGAACAGCCTAAGACGAATATATCAGCCATTCACGAGACTTTCCAATTGGTGAGAGGATGAGACTTGTGATATGCTTACCACTCTCCGCCGTTCTGCGCACTTGGTCCTGCCGACAAGGGATGGCCTGAGGTGATGCTGTTCCACGTACTGTCTAGCACATTCTTGAAGAAAGGCTTCTGCAGATAAGTCGGCTTGGAGTTTGGACCGGTTTTGAGAGTGATATACGTCATTCCCAAGGCTTTGTAAATGGATGCGCTGGGATCAGTGTAGATTGGGTAAGGGCATGATGTGCGTTCGATATAGCCTGGGATGCATTCAGTGGGACTGATCTGCAGGGCAAGGTGAGAATATTTCGCGCATACCTGGAATACACTTTGGTTCTCCACAACCTATAAGCGTAATTGAAGTGTTTGATGCCTCAAGAGTGGCGGGAGGCAGGTCCTTGCTTAGAGCCACGACATACTGCTCACAGGATCCGCAGAAGAAATGACGAATGAATATGATCAGTTGTCTTTCGTTCTCTGCTTTGCCAGTGTAGAGGTCTTTGAACGGGATCTCGTTCCCATCTTTATCCTTGATCTTCAAGTGGCCGGCTTCCACAAGTGCCTGTGGGGAGGGCAGCTCGCGATGGGATTTCTCGTTTGCAGTTGCCGAGCCCATGATGAGGTGAAACGATTCGTCGATATTCCTTTCCGAAGACAAGGCTGCTGTTGATGCAGATGTTTGGATACGGGGTGCTCAGGCCAAGGACGTTGTTTCCTACAAACCGCAGCTATAGAAGGGTTACTGTAAAGTGGCACTTTTCCAGCTTCTTACGCTATAATGTGCTCGATGTTGGTGTGACTGTCGGATCTGGGGCCCAGGCTGATGCACTGTGCATGTAAGCAAGAGCAGAGGTGGAGTCTGCAGTGAGACTCTGAGTGGCGGCAGGCGGCCAACCGCCACACAGCCGAGTGGCTCAAAGGCGAGAGGACGTCGGACGTCAGGCCGCATCCGTGCGATCTCGTCTGCAACACTCCACTGCCTTTCCATCTATCTCCCTCCCTTCACCACCACGCCGAGCACTCTTACTGCGCTCGAAGGCTGCGGTATGTTCTCGAGCAAGCTTGCCAGGGTCGCCAATCGCACCTGCGCAGCTGCCAGCGGCGCATCCAGCTCCTCCACGTGCACCGCCCACCGAGCGGCACAGTGCCTCACCGCCCGCCGGCAGACACACCAGCGCCGACAGTCCAGCAGCAAGGCGTCGTCATGCCCGCCCGATAGCAATGCCAGTGGCGGAAAGCCTGCTGCAACAGCCAAGGGCGCTGCAGCGGATGCCAGCAATCCTATTGCAGAGCCGGCCTCGCAGCACAGGAGCGGGAAGAAAGTCAGCCGACCAAAGAGATCGAGGCACAACACCGATGAACACAAGGTACCTGACCATTTTGCGGGGCTACCCGCTGTTCCAGGCACACAGCATATCGACGAGCAAGGTAGGATGGTGTCTAGGCGAAGCAAAAGATTGCATGCGGCTAACTGTTGTTCCCCTCCCAGACCTTCGCACGTCAGCCTTCTTCTCATTACACAGACCTCTGTCCCTGGGAAGCACCATTCCTCCCCCGGCCACCGAGAAAGCCTTCGAAAGCGTCTTTAGGACAAAGCAGCAGCGAGATCCGTGGGAGAATGGCAATTCCGCCGAGCGAAGGCCCGAGGATGTAGTCTACGCACTTGGACCTCTTTTCGAGAATCTGGACGCCTCAGCGAGCGAAGCACAAGATGATGGAGTACGGTGGGAAGTTTTGTCCGAGAGTCCGTCGCACCAAGATGGAGTGAAGCATTTGGATGGTCCACCCAGGTTACGAAGCTTGGATGAATTGGTCTCACAACTCAGACCGTTTACCGTGCCACCGCCGCCACAGCCATTCACTGAAGATCTTAAGCAGTCGGAACAGAAGAAACGAGCATCGAAGCCGAAGCAGAAGAGATATAAGACGACCATCTATCTCACTGAATCAACCACCACCAACGGGCAGGTGGAGTACAGTGCGTCTGTTTCACCCATAGAGCGAGTACTCGAGGAGCAGTCTGCAGCAGAAGAGCCCGTGCCAGAAGCCCGAAGACAGTCGACTTTCCGCGAACGAATGCAACGATATCGGACATCGAAGGCCTACCTTCTCCATCAGCAGGCCATGGTCAGTAGTGCGCCCACAAAGGCGCCTGTCCGGCGAGCACCTAGTGCTGCGAGAAAGGAGCGTATGCTGTTGATATCTGTCAAGCGACAAAGGAAATTGAAGATGAAGAAGCACAAATACAAGAAGCTTATGAAGCGGACGAGGAATCTCAGGCGAAGGCAGGATCGTGCATAGTCTGGTTGAGGCGCGCCACTGGTCACTGCTTTTTTGCATAGCACGGCGTTCTGGTGTGCATCTGGCTGCCCTGTGCCTAGATTCAATAGACTTGCATGATTCCAGGACATGCGAGGAGGCCATATGAAGGTCGCGGTCAGCACGGGCATTTAGATCTTTTCTATTGCGTATTACAAGCAATCTCGACCACTATTTTTTCTACGCTAGTATCCGATATTTGTTGTTCATTGCGAGCGTGACACAGTCGCCAGCCTCCTTCAGAGCAAGGCCTGCCTGCTTTATGGAGTGATGAGTGACAACACGATAGCGACTTGCGGATTTGGGAAAGGAGAATGAGGCATCAGAGCTGGAGGACATGTGCTTTTGCGAAGCTGCCTTTTGTCCGGCTGCTAGATCGAGACCAATTGAACGATAAATCTCTCGTGCTTAGTGCAGAAACCAGCTCGGAACTTCAGGACCCCAGACTGCCAGGCTCTCATCGCCAGCTGGTCCCCAGCCCACAGGTGTATCTTGATTGACCAGATCACCGTCCGCATAATGCTCGATCATGTTCCCCGTTGTATCCCACCAATAGTCGAATATCTATCACAAATGTCAGTTACTATGTATGTTCACACCGTAGCAAGCAAGCACGCAGATCAAGCTTACCTGAGAACCCAGAATATGCCTTCCGATGCCCCATACACTTGTGTAGCCTTGCTTCCCTAACCATTGATGTCCAAGTTGCTGCGTGTCGTAGTCATGTACTTCAAAAGAGGCGTGGTGTACATGCGATGTGGGATTGGTTGACATGAAGAAAGTATGGTGATCGACACATGTCTCGCCTCGATCGATGTGTGCAAAGACCGCGACGTCCTTCGTTTTGCCGTCGCCAGCGGGAATATAAAGGAAGTCGGTGGGTGCGAGATTGAAGGTCCTGGTGTACCACTCAAGTTGCTCTGGGAACTTCTGTACGCAAAGTCCGTAGTGACCAAGCTTATGCACAGCGGCTGGACCAGGCGTGAAGCGATTGAACTTCCTCACGCGAGGTTTGTCTTCTCCTTCGTAATTGTATATGACCTTTTCTGGCCACTCTGCTCCTGTGGCTGCTGGAGTCTGACCGTACATTAGATTGACAGGGAAGCCTTCTGGATCTTGAAGGGTAAGGAAATATCCTCCTCCAGGGGCGTCCTTTATCTCCTCGATTGGTCCCTGTGCTTCTGGCAGTTTTGACGCTTTTTCCAGCTCTTCCATTGATTCCACTTCGTATGTGCCACCGAGGAATTTCATCTCGCCTTTTCGTGCATAGTATACGTATTGATCTGTGCCGTACCCTCGAAACCAGATTTCTTCTTCCGTCTCTTTTGCAATATGCATGCCAAAATCTATCAAGAACTTCCGGATCTTCGGCAGGTCAGGGTGCTGGTAACGCATGTGAGCCAGCTTCACAAGCTTGACCTGCTTGGATCTATCGATTCCCACTCTCTTCTGCCATTGCCGTAGAGGTTCTGACTCCGGTCCTATGGCTTCTATGTCTGAGATGGTTGCACCTCGATTGGGCTTGATTTCTATGCTGTTGTCTGCGTTCGCTGTGATGGTCACTGGTCGATCCTTGCCGAACTGTGAGCTGTTGCCAGTGGGCGGCGTCCAAGTCGCTGTGTCAGCAGCAGCCATGATGACGAGGTCTTGTTGAAAGATAGAATGGAACTGGAAACGAATGGATGGTCTACATGCCTATATATACCTTAATTGATCCATCTCGAAGACCCCACTCTGAGGCGGCTGGCTTAAGGGAAGAGTGAAGTTGTGCAGGAGCACAAGCACAAGTGCCGAACACTTGCCAGGTCCCGCTGGTGGGGCTCGGCAAGCCGAATCCGAAGTGGACCGCAGCGTCAACCCTGATGCTCGACCAGTCCAGTCCACGATACACTTCGGCGCCGACATGCCATGAGCTCGACGACCGCGACGACCACCAATGCGAAGCCCGCCCAGGCGGCCGCGCTATCAGCGGGAAAGGCCATCGATGTCCTACCCAGCCAAACTTCCCAGCTGTTTGCCAATCTCCATCCAATTCTTCTACTGTCCTTGATCCCCATCGCCTTCCGCAGCTTGGTCAGCGATCCGGTCAACACCCTTCTTGGTCTCGCGCCGACCACGCTCGTAGTCCAGGCGATCTACTGCATAGTGTGTCTGCCATCATCTGGACAGAGTGCACCTCCAAAGCCCAAGCCAGGCCAGAAAGCAAAAGCCGTCAAGCCAGCTCAAGATGTCTGGGCTCGATTGGTGGTGAGAGAGTTGCGTGTATCGCATACACGCTTCATCAGCTGACGAGACCACAGCCGGCCTTCCTCTCCCTCGTGCTTACCTTCTTCCTGTCTGCGCCGCTACTGTACATCACTGTCATCCTCTTCGGCGCCCCGCTTGTCTCGCACCTGCCGCATACCGCACTCTTAGCTTTACACTTAGCTCTCCTGACTACGCCTCAGTTGTTCTACGTCCATGGCCTCGACACATCGACCTGGTTGCGACTTGCGAGTCTGCAGCAACCAATCGACCAGATCTATGGTCTTTCGCTGGGAGCTTGTGTTGGTGCGTGGCTGGGCGCAATACCTATACCACTGGACTGGGATCGGGCATGGCAGAAATGGCCCGTTACCATCATTTGTGGCATGTACATCGGAGCCGTCGTAGGAAAGCTTGTGGGAGGCTATCTGCTCAAAGGCGTCCGGATGAAAATGAATTAAGCTGGACCTGAGCGATGCACAGACGACGACAAGAAGGAGATCGAGCTATCTGGATTGATACTTCATCCTATGGCATCGCAGAAATCGCCTTTCACAGTCCAATGTGCACGGCTTCCCGAATGATCTCGAGAGCGACTTCGCGAGCACCTGTATCGAAGCAGGAGAGCAAACATCAGCTAGATCGCCCACACTATGCGGAAGTATACCGTTAGCTTAAATGGTACGTGTCAGAGCATTCGGCAGCCTCGTTCATGTGCTCAGTGCTCAGTGCTCAGTGCTGACACCGCAAAGCAGTACTTTGATTGCACAAAGATCAACGAGGATAGTATAGCTTGTCCCCTCACAAAAGGGAGACTGTATAGACTTCAAAGAGCTTTCACATTTAGGCTATAGCACAAAGTGCAGTTTTGAAAAGTGTGTACAAAATAAATTTGCAACCGGGTCTCATGCGATCATTACTGCTTACGTTCTGTCCTGTTCGCCCATAATAATTCTCCTACACTGTCGATAGGTCGTATACACATCAAGTCTCTTTCCCGCCGTGCTAAAACCGGCGCCAACAATGCAAATCCTCCTTTTTCGCTATGCAGCGCTTTTGTTCGTTATATCTCGTCGTTCATGAAATCCATCACATATACAAACTCATCAGATGATTCAAGCGGCATCGCATCATCTACAGTACTAGGCCCGCAAGGCCGATCGCTGCACCAACGAAGATGGCCACCTCTGCGGCAAACCGACTTGATGGCATTCCGGCGCCAGATTGCAAACCAGGCATTCCAGTTGCAGAGGCGCTCGGAGAGCTCCCGGCAGACGGGACATCGGTGGCACCGCCAACTTCGGCGAAGGAGGTGATTGTGCTGCGCTGTCCATCGGGAAGGGTCGTGGTCCGAACTTGCAACTCGCTCACAGTGCCACCGCCGGGAGTGTAGGTTACGATAGCGACCTCGCCTGTGTTGTCAGTTGTAGCTAGGCAATGGTCAGTTTGCGTTTGGTATGCACAACAGTCTGCACTTACTATACACTCCGCCAGGCGTCGGCCTCGAAAGGACAACAGTATGGCCCTGCGAGTCTGTAGTGGTCTTAAGGTAATAAGTCAGCTTAATATCTTTACTTGACCGTAGGCAACGAACGTGGTCCACCGACGAGCAAATCTGGCAAACACCCTTGCGAGTCGGACATTTGCAGAGTCCGCAAAGGTGCTCTGCGATGTCCAAGGCAATAGAGCCTGTTTAGAGGTGAAATCTCGCCAATGTCCGCATGCGGACCAGATTCGACTTACCACCATGTCTGCTGACGATGCGACGACACTTCCGCCTGGGGCCACAGCGACGATGGACAGCGGTGAAGCTGTCGTTACAACCGATCCTTCAGAGTCCGTTCTCGTGACGATGGCAGCTGGTGCATTTGTCGAAGTAGTAACGGTTTGGCCGTCATTATTGGTGGTTGTGATCTGGAGTACCACACTTGTAGGGGCTGTATTCTGGAAAGCTTGTGTCGTAGCAACCAATGTGCTGCCACCCTGGGCTGTCGATGTGATCTCGACTGGGACGAGGACGCCTGTCTGTGTTGATGGCGACGCAGATACTGTTGGCGTCGTAGTTGGTTCACTTGCTTGGACAGTGGAGGAGGCTGACACAGATGTTAGACTGCTTTCTGTGCTTTCTGCTATTGTGCTAGATGGCATGGAAGTGCTAAATGAGTGGGTGAAGGAGAAAAGGATTTTAGTGCGGTTGCTGGTGTCGCCTGACCTTGAGGACTGTCGATACTGTCCGGTACAGTTACCACCGTGGAAGGGATGACTGTCGTCTCGTCTTGCGAAACAACGGTGCTCGTTTGCAACACAGTCGAAGAGCCCAGTGTAGAGCTCACGTCCGGCGTGGAGCTTGGAGAAATAGAGCTGGAAGAAGAAGTTGAAGAAAACTGACCTTGCGTCGTAGAAGTTGTCAGGACTGTCGTCTGGGTGGTGAAGGAGACTGCGGATGTTGTACTATCAGTCACAATGACTGGGCTTGTCGTAGTTATGGTCGTGGCTGACGTCGTGTTGTTATCGCTTTGGCGTTTCCGCAGATAATCTTTGACGATAGCATCTGACTTGGCCAAATCCACTAGCTTTGAGGCCAGCTCTGGATCATGGCTGCGAACAGCGTCAATCGCGTCACGACCGTGCTCGAATATGCCCTCGCGGTACTTGGGGCGCAGATGTCCTTCGACGGCAGCTTTCAATGAGTCCCCCGGCAAAGCTCTCAGCACCTCTTCCCACTGAGCAACGACGTCGTGATCTTCGAGAGCCTCGAGATGTGGTATGATTCGTGCTGAGACAAGTGGAAGGGCGAGTAGAAACAGCGATGGAATCGAAGGCATGTTGATCGTTCTCCCAGCGGAATGAAAATGACACCAAACAAGTGCAGGAGACCAGCTCGCGAGCGGCGCCAAAGGGTTGTTGCTGTTGGGACACCAGACGATCAGCGACAGAAGTAGAGAGAGGAATACAACGTGAGACGAGGCTGGGGTGAGGATGAGGAGGCTCGGAGGAGGAGGATTATCGAAGTGTGCTCACCAGCAGCTAGAATATCGTACTTGGCTCAAAGTTGCAAGGCGTGGCGCTAGGCACCAATGCGTCCGAGACAGAAGCTTGTGGTGGGTTTGGATCGGCCTTGGTGCTGGCGAAGGGAAGGCGTGTGGAAGGGAAGGCGCGTGAAGAGTGCTGTGTGCCGAGAAGCGATTCCGCCATGGGCCGAAAAGCAAAACAACAGAAAATCAATGCATGAAAACAAGGAAGTCGAAACAGTACTTCGAGTGCATCTGAGTACCTAACGTTAGTTAAGTTGGGCAGAGTGAGTAGTGAGCTGAGCATAACGGCAACGTAGGTGGAGATCCCTGTCGAATACGAACATGCACTGAGATCAGCAGTCTTGGCCTCCAAGTCAGGCCAGGCCTCGAAGCTGATACTCCGCCGCGTCATTCGTGCCTGCCGGCTTTAGAACAACAGGCAGGCGCACAAGTGGCATGATGCGGCGATGGAAGATGGAAGATGGATACCTTACTAATTATCGCTATCGACTGCTCGAGCACGTCGTGCGGTATCACCCATCACCACAGCAGGCTGCCTGCACCTGCACCTGCACGACCACGAGCCATGTGCCATGTGGTTGGTAATAATAATGCTCCAGCTTCCAACAATCTGGTCCTCGGAGCCAAACGCCCCAGCCACTTAAGAGTCCGTGCCCTGCCCTGCCCAGCATCGTTCTTGCTGTCTCGCAACTTTTGCTCGTTGCAGTTGCTCCCAGATACAGAAATGTGCTTGCAGAACATCAAGACGCCTTGTCCGCTACAAATATACTTCAATTGACGCTATCGACGCATTATTTACTCTTCGCATCATTCAATCCTGCACTTGCGCCAATTTCCTCGTTGCTTGTGCCATTGACACGCGCCTCCGTGCCCGTTGCCTGAGCCTCGCTGATCCCAGCTATTGGCGCATGCACAGCTCGCACTTCAGAAGCAGACGAAAACCTGTCCGAGACAACACGTGACTGCTCGAACGACTTTCCACGAACAGGCAAGCCTTCGCCGGGAAGTTGGAGGTCTTGCTTGCTTCTGTTCCGTTCATGCCCCCTCTCAGGCGTTCCCGATCGTTTTTCAACCTCCTTGTCCTTCCTTTCCTGGATCTTGTTCCTAAGCCAAGACATCGGTCCCTTCCTCTCTCTTTCAGAATCAGAGAAAACCGTATCGGAAGTCGCTGAAGTTTGAATCTGCTGTTGTGAGCCTGATGGAGTCCTGCTTTCTGCTATGGGCTCTGTCGCCACTGATCCTATTGGCGTCGCTTCCTGAAAGCTTTTTCGAGGCGCCGACCCTCCACTACCGATGGTGGACCGCGAAGTAGCTTGCTCTCTTGCGCTCATACTTCCCAAGGGATTGGCATTGCTGTTTCCCGGTGTTGACGCTTGATCGAGCTTGTTTTGGGTCCTCGAAAACCTCCATCGGCTTCGCTTTTTCTTCTCAGGCTGATCGAATCCAGCCGGCATATCGTCTCCCACAAGATCTGCGTCCGATTGATCGGTATGAGAACGGAAGGAGTTTGAGGGAGACAGGCTTGGCTTGAGCGTGGCATCTGTAGGGTATCGCTGTGGTGTTGCCTGTATTGGCGTCGACTGCGCAGTGGCGTAGTTGGAATGCTCCGGCAGTCCTGTCGTCTGTGTTTCAGATACCGTTGCAGGGGCGAATGAAGGGGATATTGGTGATCGCTGGGATTCCTCTTTGCACTCTTCATGGAGGTCATGAGCTGAAGAGTGCGCACTGGATAATGCAGAGCCCGGCATGCGCTTCTTTTGCAATTTGTTTGGCTTGCGACCCTCGCCGTCACTGGTTGGCGATTGTTTCAAAATGTCGAGAAATTTCCGGCCTGTGGTAGATGAAGACGTGTTCGACGAGTGTCTATCTCCTGATCTGTCCCCGACGTTCCCAGGAGCCAAGAGAGGAACCGTGTCTTTCCTGGGAGTGTGATATTCTCGGGATCGATCACCACCGACAGCTGCCAAAGGCGTTGTCGCTTCACTTGACGAAGCGGAAGTCACCTCAGGAGGTTGAACTTGGGAGGCCCTTGGTATGGTGGGGAACGCAGGGGCCGCGGCTGCCACGGAAGTGCTCTGTAGTGAGCCTTGTCGTTCCCAAGGAGATGGCCGTTCAACCTTGACACCAGTCGAAGCGGGAGCTCCGGTCGCGCTTGCAGGTGCAGTAGGCGTAGATGGATCGGAGTGCTTCTCCTTCGAGAATCTAGGGGATTGTCCGGTACTACCACCTCTCCTCGAAGGCACTGTGTTGCTTCGATGCACACCACTAGACGTAGGCGTGCCAGGAACAGGAGAGCTGGGAGCAGGAGCATGATCCGAGCGTTTACTGTGCTTGCTGGAAACAGAGACATTACGTCTAATGCTGCCCCATTTGCGCACGCTTTCGGCTGCAACGCTGGAATTCGAGCTTGATCGACCAATGATTGTTTTTGAGCGACCGGGAGTAGTTGGAGTCGAAGGTGGTTTAGATGGCGATCCACCACTTTGTACATCACGCACAGTGTCTGCATCCGCGGCCGTGCCCTGCATGCCGATAAGGAAACTGTCCTGGTTCTCTATGAGAAAGATCAAAACATCTTGGCTCAAGCGGTATTCTTGCGGGGCCATGTCGTGTTGTGGGTGATTAAGGATGCCCGGTTGGAATATAGCTGCTAGGTTGGGCGTCGTCATCTTATTGAGATCCGACTTGCTGGCAAACACTGCCAAGAGGTCCAAGATGTACAAGAGCAGTTGTCGGTTCAGCGGCGGTAACTCGGTAATAAGAGCTTGGTATGCTCGAATGGCTGCTTCCTGATCAAACTCGCCCTCGCTCGGACTCTGCGCCTCCAGAGATCCAACAGCCTGTGCCTGGTGATTCCTAAGCGGATCTCGAAATCTTTGGTAGAACTCCAGCGGTATTATTGGCTCAGGGAGCTGGTTGAAGTAGCGCCGAAGAATATTGGCCGCATCGTGGACAGTGTAGCCAGTCCAGTCCAAACCTTTACCATATCTATCGGGACTATTAAAAGCTGCCTTTAGCTCTTTGATTCGTTTTTCGCTGCCCGCCAGCCGAAAGATACCCTCGACATCGGTCGCTGAAGACGAATTAGGAACATCGGCTACGCTGCTCTAGGAGGACTGTCGTACCTTTTTCTTTCAGGAACACTCCGCATTTAGCTACTACGATGGGTACATAGCCATATATATAGCTCTGTCCCTCGTCGTTGAATAGACTAATGGCAACATTTGCGTATCTGATGCTCTGCTGCAGCGGCACTCCAAAGATCCCGTGCGGCGCTGCTAAGAAAGTAGTGTTAGAAGCCGAGCCCAAGACGAAGTACACAAGAAGCGATACTCGATGCAACGCAAATAGCAGAAACAGAGGCGAAGCAAATGAATTCAGACGCGGCGCATGGTCTTTGCCAACGACGCATGCATTGCTGCCAGAAAGGGGTCCATGTTTGCTCTGTGCATACCTTGTTCCGGAGGCTTCTTATCGCTCCGCTTGAAGTTCTTCCACCAACTAGCCAAGTCCTTCCTTTCCTTGACGGCTTCGCTGTGAGCAGGCTGCGAGTTGAAGGTTGGGCGCGGACCTCCTGGGCCAGCAGGAGCGGTGGAGGGCCCGCCACTTGTGGTCATGCCTGTATGTCGTCGGGCGACGGCGCGACCCTAGAGCATGCGCGAGGTCGTGGTGAGTGGTCTGGGTGAAAGCAGTGCAGTGCAGTGCAGTGCAGTGGGCGTAGCAACGGGGCCAGGGCCACAGAGCAGACAGGCCGCGCGAGTCTGGGCTCCAGTGGTCGCGCCGCGTGATGTTGCTCACTCGCGCGCGCTGCGATGCGATGCGATGCGGTGCGGAACAGCGGCGGACGGACGACCGAGGCGGAGGCAAAGGCAGTGTCGTCGACGGTGACGAGCGCGTAGGTGGGTGGGTGCGGACGTGTTTCGCGACAGCACACGCCTGGGTGTGTCTGTGTCTGCGTCTGCTTTGGGAAGGCTGATTCGACGGGTGCCAGGGCAGGCGAGAAACGAGACGAGAGAGCTGCAGGAGGGCTAGGCTAGGTCTCGCTCTCCAAGGCGCGACGGTGGGCGGGAATAATAATGGGAAGGGCCAACGGCGCGCGGGTGTAGGCGACCGCTGGTGCTCTCAACGACAGCAATATCAAATAACAATGCTGATTGTGCTAATGTCAACAGCACGCACCACGACGACGACCACGAGCCAGAACCTCTCGCAGCACTGCTTCTTCTCCAGCAGAGCAGAGCAGAGCAGCTCATGCTCTCCGTCCCGTCCTCTCCTCTCCTCTCCTCTCCCCCAGGCTCTCCTCTGGAAGCGAAGCCGCCAAATATAGCTCACCTGCTTGGCATCGCCCGTCGCCCGTGAAATGCTATTGGACCGTTCCGCTACCATAGCACCGCACCGCGACGTCGACAACATCATGATCATCATCATACGTGCCGCATGCATTATTATGCCGAGCGCTGTGGCTGTCGCTGCCAGTGCCAACGCAGCTTCATCAAGCTCGTTTTGTCGCCGTGCCAGCCCTGTCGCGCCTCTCGCACCAAGCAATGTAGCTCGCTAAAACCTGCTGCGCTAACCTCGCCGGCTGCTCCACCTCCGAAGAGCTTCAGCGACATCATACAGCAGTACCTGAAACACACCTTTTTGCACGGCCTTTGGAGCACTGCAGTCGTCGCTGATACCCTCATCGCCCTATCTATCCACACAAGCAACGCGACATGGACGGGTGTGTCACGCGCAGTCAACCTTTTTTGCTGATCTTTCGCAGCATGAATAGCACCGAGCTGATGCGCATCGCAGACTGAACGCCGCTGAGCAGCGCGAGCTGCAAGGCCGCATGGAGAAGAAGCAGATGAAGGACTTCATGAACGTACGCTCACTTCGAATGCAATCTGCCTATTTCCTGTATCGAGATGATGCTGATCCTCGCTCGCATCCAGATGTACTCCAACCTCGTTCAACGATGCTTCAACGACTGCGTCACCGACTTCACCTCGAAGAGCCTCCAGAGCAAAGAAGAAGGATGTGTGATGCGCTGCGTCGACAAGTTCCTTAAGAGCTCTGAGCGATTGGGAGAGCGCTTCCAGGAGCAAAATGCCGCCATGGCGCAACAGGGACCCGGCGGCATGGGCTTGGGCAGATGAATGAAGTGCTGCGTGTTCCAGTGTACGATAGCATGAGAGGGACAGGAACTTTGTTTGAAGAGGACTACTGCATGGCACGGCGTTTGCCCACAAATCGCGTGGTAGCGGAAGGTCCTTTGCTGCCCTTGATCTGGGGATCTGGTGGCTGACCGTCTGCTCCAAGAACACATCTTCCGGCCCGGCGATCGCAACGCAAGCCGTTCAGCACAGAGACCTCGAAGAAACTTGCCGAGGCTGTAGTCATACTTGGATCCCGCTCTACCACCGCACATAGGCATACTCAATCCTTCGGTGTCAAGCCTCGTAGACTCAGGTCGTACACCACGTCTTCGACCTCCTTGACCTTGTATTTGATAATATCGCTACGCTTGCGCAAGGCATCGTTCTTCAGATTGAGGATCTGGAAACCAGCATGGACATCCTTGATGAACTGGCTGATCTGAATAACGACAGGTGTAATGTATCAGCAAAACACGCCTTACACAGAAGAGATAATGCTCTTGGCCAACATACCTGAAACGGCCGGCGGTGATCGCCCAAGGTGACAGAATTGCGAGCCAGTCGGGACAGTTCGTCCAGTAAGGAAACCAAGGCGAGGAGGTACTCCTCGATGGTGAGATGGAAACAATCGCGATCCTTGACATTGACAGGCACTGTTCTCTCATCAGATTCTGTCCGCATCATCCTTGATCCTGACATACCGTTCATTGTCTGGCCGACCTCTTCAATGGTCAACAAGTTGCCGGTCCCGTCCTTGCCACATCCACCAAGCCATCCGCAGAACAGTATCGAGAATGTCTAGGAAAGGTTAGCGAAGCATTGCTATGGGTGTCACGATATCTGACCGAGTTCTCCATCTGCCTCTGCCATGAGTAATTGAACTTGTAGTATGGATGCTTGGACGCTTCCGCAGACAGCGTTTGAATCGTGGCGATCTGCTCCTTGATGCTCGCTTCTGCAGCTTGAATGACAGCGGGTACTATTTGAGACAGTGAGTGGTTGTATGCGCAGCTTCATCGAGATGCTCACAGTCGGTGTTTGCAGTTGAGTGTGCTCGTGATAGAATGGATTGTGTGTTGCGATCTGTGTATCAAGATCAGCACAACTCTTGCAAGCGATCAGCGGCGCGACGTGCCTTGCTTTTCTAGCTTCGATACTATGTCTCGAAGAGCCTATACCATGTCATTGATTGGTGTGAAAACCAGAGAGGAGAACGGTCGAACAAACATCTTTAATGCCGGTGTCTTCGTCGATCTTATGCTGCAGATCCTCAAAAATGCCAGATTGGGTCAGTCCACTTCCAGCTGGTGCTGCCATTTCGAAAAGTTCTGAGCAGCGTTTGTGTAGATCTGAGGCAGGAGACACAGTGATGTTTATATTTCACCCATCACATTTTCGGCAAGCTCAAATTCGTAAAGCACTAGTCAAATACTGAGGGTTGGCTTTTACCTGTCACTCTCGGTCCGCAGAGCCGCGATCTTCTAGAACACGCTTCAGGGGTGCTAAGAGCAGCTTTCTTAGCAAACTTAGTGTATAGATGCTCTTTAGACTGTATAGAATAGCGCTAATAGTTCTAATCTGTCTAAACCGACGCCGAGGTATCGATTAGGGTTAAGAACGAGGATATTCCGCAAGCCGCTAAGCCTTATAATAGAACGCACGACTCGCTTAACTGCCGGTAAAGTACCTAAGCGACTAGACACGAGTCTAACTAAGATAACCGCTACGGCTAAGAAGAAGCCTATTCTAAAGACGCTCGAGAAGCTAATTACGCCGCTACCGATAGTTAATAAGTCTAGAAAGAAGCCTATAGCCTTAGCCGTACCGCTAATCGATCGAGTAAATAATAGCTCTACTATAGGCGCTACGGCTTCCGGTACTAAGGAACAAGCGACTAGTAACGTTAGCGGTAAGATAGGCGGCTCTATAACGACGTCCTTCGAGTCTTAGTCGTCTTCTACGACTAATAGATTAAAGGCTCTCGGTCGTAGTAATATAGCTCTTACGCCCGAGAGCTATATTCGAGAGCGGCTTACTAATAAGAAGGGACTCGTTTTAATAGACTATAGAGGCTGCTAGTACCTTATAGACACTACGAAGAAAACTAAAGAAGATAGGTAGGTTGCCTTAAAGCGCAATATCTTCGACGTTGCGGATCTAGCTAAGGGTTAGAATAGATACAAATAGGCAGGCAAAGTAACCGAGAAGTATAGCTTAGAGCGCTATTTAAAGGTAACTTTATCGGCTTATTATAAAGGGGTTAAAGAGAAGGATTATTATTAAGAGACCTAGCTGCAACTATTTAATAATAATAATAAGGCTGCGGAAGAAGACAAGGCTTATAGCCGTACCCTTAACCGTCTCGGTTATTAGGTTAACGAGGAGTTGCTAACTAATCCTTAACTTAATATATTCTTCTATACTAAACTAAGGCCTATTACCGCAGGTCTAGTTAGCTTAGCGTAGAGGCAAGGCACGGCTACTAGCAAGAGACCTCTTAGCAAGACGCTAGGTTAGTAGTAAGCCGCTCTTACTAACGTTTAAGTAATAGAGCTAAACGAGAAGGGTAACTTCGAGGTTAATATTTAAGCTTACTTTACGTATAATCTTAGCACTTGTCGTAACGTCAAGATTAAAGGACCTAAGACCTACTACTAGCGCAATCCGGATAAGCAAGACGTACCTAATAAGCACTAGCTTATAACCTCCGAAGTAATCAAATTGCTAGCAAGACTAATCGCTTAAGGCTACTAGAAATTTAGCGATCTAATACACGTAGAGGTTCTTATAATAATAATTAAGCTACACTTCGAGAGAGACGTTGCTAAGAAGGTCGCTAATTAGTTAAAGAAGAAGGGCATTGCTAGCGGTTATAGCGAGGGTCTAGCTAAAGCCCGCTCGAAGGTCTAGGCTCCTATTAATATTATCTTCGGAGACAAGGTAGCGGCTAATTTCTAAGTAGCTATAGGACCTAGATTTACGCCTACGACTCCTTCGAAGATACTAGCTCGTACCCTACTAAGACTAGGTCTTATAAAGGATATATCGTTGCTAATAGTACTGCCGGTATAAGAAGGGTCTGTTAGTAGGTAGATAGGGTAGTAGTAGGTATAGGTAGTATTCGATAAGGAGCTAGGAGGAGAGGGAGGAAGGTAGGCAAGTTGGCCTATTGCTAAGCGCCAAGCCCTGCCTAAGGCACTAAGACCCTAGCTTTACTTAGCCTAGTTACATGCCAATTACGTATAGCCTCTTTAGCCCTAATATACGCTTCCCTTCTAAAGGCCGCGCCCTCGTAGCCTATCTATATTCTACGACCTCTATTGCCGCTAACTTAGCAAGTCTAATAAGCTGCTTAGTCCGCGCTAAATTAAACACTTAACTACCTAATTATATAACTATATTAAACCTTACCTTCTAATACAATATCTAACTCTAACTGCGCTATCCTTATATATAATAAAGTGAAGGGATATAAAGCTATAAGAATTAAGGACTATCGACTAATTACAATACAAACGCACCTTCCCTACTGCAATAGGTAGGTATACGGGGTATTGTAGTACTGCCTCCGTTCTAAGTAATATTATATCGAGTTCTTTGCGTCTACTCTTAAAAGACCTAGCAATATCCGCTTCCGAGGGTTGTCCGCTTCCGAGGGTTTGTTCTTATTGTTACGAGGGCTATTATTTACTTTTCAGAAAAAATATAGCTCGTCTAGTTTCTATAGGTAAAGGCTATTATAAGTATAGTAGTTAAGGTTCGCCTCGCTTAAAGGGTTAGAAAGATCGAGGAGTAACCTATTATCCGCAAGATCGACCCCGGCTAGCTTAGCTCTATAGTTTTGCCCTTAGTTAGTTAGTCTATTAGTCTACTTAATCTTTTAAGCGGCTTAAAGTTTTGACTTAGCCTTAAAGTTTAATTAAAGTTTTAATTAAAGGTGCCTTAAAGTTTTAACGTAGGTAAAGTTAATAATAGTAGCGACTAGGTAATATTAATAATAGCGGCGCTAGCCGTCTTAGCGCTAACTTTACCTTGCTTCCGGTTTCCTTCTTTAACTAATAACAATATTAGTAACACCGTTACTAATATAGCGGTATCCTTCTTTTCTCGAACAGTAATACACCTCGTAATACTATTACTAATATAGCCGCGCCGGCTACGCCGTCCTTCGCTAGCTCGTAGCGCGACGCTATTATCTTCCTTACCGTTATTTATACGCGCGCGCGTATCGCCCTTGTCGATCGCTTAGGCCTTAGAGCCTCGATAGAATAGAGGAACAAGAGGGGCGCTAAGAGAAGGGTCTTATAGGGTGCGCTAGTAAAGAGGTAGATTCTATAGTAGTATAGTCTTATTGTCCTTTGTTACTAGCAATTGCTTACCTCTAATTAGTTAGCTAATAGCACCCCGGGGGTAGCATTGTTCCTAGGTAATATTATAGGTATAAGAAGGGTATATTAGCAGGTAGATAGAGTAGTAGTAGGTACGAGTAGTATTCGATAGAGAACTAGGAGGAGAAGGAGGAAGGCAGGCTAGTTAGCCTAACGCTAAGCGCTAAGCCCTGCCTAAGGTACTAAAACCCTAGCTTTACTCGAGCTAGTTATATACTAATTACGTGTAGCCTCTAACATACGCTTCCCTTCTAAAGGCCGCGCCCTCGTAGCCTTTCTATATTCCAACCTCGACCTCCGTTACTACTAACTTAGTAAGTCTAACAAGCTGCTTAGCCGCGCTAAATTAAACACTTAACTACCTAATTATGTAACTATATTAAACCTTACTTCTAACATAACACAATATGCAACTCTAACTACGCTATTCTTATATATAATAAAGTAATATATATCTACGAGAATTGAGGGCCTTCGACTAATTATAATACGAGCGCGTCTCCTCTACTATAATAGGTAGACGTACGAGGTATTGCAGCCCTGCCTCCGCTCTAAGTAATGTCGTACCGAGTTCTTTGCGTCTACTCTTAAAAGACCTAGAAATGTCCGCTTCCGAGGGTTTGTCCGTTTCCGAGGGATTGTTCTTGTTATTACGAGGACTATTATTGTTCGTAGTTTCGCTAGCCCTAATTAGTTAGGTTTAGCAGCCTTTAAGTATTAATCTTATCTTATCTTTTTAAAAAACACAGCTCGTCTGGTTTCTATAAGTAAAGGCTATTATAAGTGCAGTAGTAGAGGTTCGCCTCGCTTAAAGGGTTAGATAGATCGAGGAGTAACCTATTGTCCGCAAGATCGACCCCGGCTAGCTTAGCTCTATAGTTTTGCCCTTAGTTAGTCTATTAGTCGCTTAATCTTTTAGGCGGCTTAAAGTTTTAATTAAAGTTTTAATTAAAGGTGCCTTAGGCTCGTAGTGTAGTATTGGCTAGTAACCGGCCCTATACCTATAGGCTAGTTTTGAGCCTACATAAGAGGCCTCCTTCTACAGAGTAGACAGATTATCAACCTCGTATAGCACATTGTTTATGTTACACTTCTATAATGCCTATGTTGCAGGGCTCTAGTCATTAGCCTAAGCGACAGTCTCGTTATCCTATCTTGCTAAATATAGCTGCCTATATTGCTATAGGTTATGTTACCCTCGGTAGCCTATACTATTGCTACGAGTAGTAGTAGTAGTGTTAGTTTCCGTCCTTTATTAGAGCCGAAGGTAGGGCTATCTCTTTATATCTGACAGGTTCGGGTATGTTAAAGGTAGTCTCTAGGCACGAATGGCTATAACCGAAGCGAGGGCACGACAAGAGCCTACGATACGGACGATACCGAAGTATCTTAAGGGGCCGTTACGACAAGCAGAGAAACCTCTTAACGAGGGCATCGCTTTAACCCCGAAAAGCTACAAACCCTTAGGACTGTTACAGCTTAGGGCCTAGTCTATAACTATAGCTAGCTTCTAAGGACTCGGCTCCGGGTCGAAGACCTATTTAGCACCGCTTACTCGAGATAAGCTACCGTACGCCTAAGGAGGAGATAGACTAATTACCTATCGGCCTTGCTTAGTTTGCTAAGACTATCTATACGATAGCAATTTCTAGATTGCAGGTCGGATGCCTAGACAGTTCCCCTATTAACCGGGTAGATTGTTTCGGGATTCGCTACTTCGTTCGGACAGTGCTTAGCCTTCTACTAGAAAAAGAAGGTCCCCGCCCCCCCGCCTAGCTAAAGGAGATACGAGCTAGTTTCTAGGATCCAGGTGTAAATAGAGATTGTAGTCTCTCCCTCCGAGCGGTTTTCGTCCAATACTAAACTCAGCTCCTAGGGGTGTATAGGCGACCCCTAGGAGGCCAAACTCCAATGCTACCCCGGGGGTGTTATTAGAAGAAAACAGCCTAGCATACCATTTTCTCGCACAGCAATATCGAAACAAACCAAACCTACAATACACACTAAAAACACTTTCCTATAGCATTTTATTTTAACTACTTTA